ACTCCCCTGTAGAATTTTGTCCACACATCTTCATGGACTTCATTTATTCATTCATTTAACAAATATTTATTGAGCACTTACCATGTGTTGAACACTGTTCTAGGCACTGGGGCCAAACAAGGAACAAAAGAGACAAAAATTTCTGCCCTTATGGAGCTTAGATTCTAACAGGGGAAACAATTAACAAAAGTAAAATGTATATGAGATAAATAAATGCCAAGGGAGAAACACAGCATAAAATAGTCATAGGAAGTGTGTGTACATAAGAGCAAACTGTGATTTTACATAGCCAGGGACACCTCTCAGAGAATGTCACATTTGAATAAAGGCCTGGTGGCGCAGTGGTTAAGTGCACATGTTCCACTTCAGCGGCCCGGGGTTCGCCGGTTTGGATCCCAGGTGCGGACACGGCACCACTTGGCAAGCCATGCTGTGGTAGGCGTCCCACATATAAAGTAGAGAAAGATGGGCATGGATGTTAGCTCAGGACCAGTCTTCCTCAGCCAAAAGAGGAGGATTGGCAGCAGTTAGCTCAGGGCTAATCTTCCTCAAAAAAAAGAAAAATGAATAAAGACCAGAAGGAAGGAAGAGATGAGCAGAGGGAATATGCAGGGAAGGTGCATTTAAGTAGAGGCAATAGTTAGATCAAAGGCCCTGAGGCAAGAGCCTGCTAGTGTGTTCAAGGAGTACCAAGGTGGCCACTGGAGCTGGAGGAGAATAAACAAGGGAAAGAGACATAGGAGATAAGGTCAGATGGCTATGGGAGGACCCTATCACCTAGGCCTCAGAAAGCTTTTGTAGATATTAGAAAGATTTCATCCTTTACAAGATGGAAAACTACTGAAAGATTTTGAGTGGATGAGTTTCATGGTCAGTCTTAACTTTGACAACATCACTGGCTGGTTTGTTGAGAATAAGTGATGAGGGGCAAATTTGACAGAAGTGAGATTGGTTTTAGAAAGCCATTGCAATAATCCAAGGGAGAAACAGTGGGGGCTTGGACCAGTATGGCAGCAGAGGAGGTGGTGAGAAGTGACCCATTCGGGGTCTATTTTGCAGGTCAGGCAAACAGGTCGTGTATGAGAGGAAAAGAGGAGTGAAGGAGAATCCCAAGGTTTGGGGCCCGCGCACCTGGTAGAAGGTTGTTGCCATTTCCTGCAAAGGGGAAGGCTGCATAGGGAGTAGTTTGGGGGGGAAAGGGATTTGGGGGATCATCAGCTTCTAACCCTGAGACTGGGTAAGATCATCAAGGTAGCGAGTGTAGAAGTGCAAGGACTGAGCTCTGGGGCACTCGAACACTCCGAGGTGGGGTGACCAACTCTTCTGGTTTGCCCAGGGCTGAGGGGTCCCAAGACACAGGACTTTCAGGAAAGTTCTGAGCAAACCGAGATGACTGATGATCTGCTCAGAGGCCGGCGAGATGAATGAAAAGCCCACGAAAAGGAATAGCAGGGCCATAGGAGACAGGTTGCCGTGGGAGCCTCGGGACGAATTTCAAGAAGACAGCTCTCAACTCCGGCAAACACTGCTGATGGGCAAGTAAGAGGAGTACTGAGAATCGACCACTGGATTTAGCAACAGAGAGGCCAGAGGGGACCTTGACAAGAGCAGTTTTATTGGAAGGTGCGAGGGACAGAAAGCCTGATTTTAGTGATTCAAGTGTGTCTTAGTCTGCTCGGGCTGCTAAAACAAAAGACCATAGTCTGCGTGACTTAAACAACAGAAACTTACTTCTCACAATTCTGGAGGCTGAGAAATCCAAGATCAAGGTGCCAACAGATTCGGTTCCTGGTGGGGACCCTCTTCCTGGCCTGCAGTCAGCTGTCTTCTCCCTGTGTCCTCACACAGTGCGTGTGTGCAGAGACAGAAAGAGAATGAGATCACTTTCTCTTCTCATAAGGCCACAAATCCTAACAGATTAGGACCCCACCCTATGACCTCATTCAACCTTGATTACCTCCTAGAGACCCTGTCTTCAAATACAGTCCCATTTGGGGTTAAGCCTTCAACATATGAATCGGGGTGGGGGGGGGGGGGGCGGAGAGTGGGCACAATTCAGACCATAGCAAAGAGAGACATTGGAAAGAGAAAGTGAAAAACAACACTTTCAGAGAGTTTTCCTGTGCAGAAAAGGAAAAAATAAGTAGTAGCTGAAAAGGTATACAGCATCAAAAGAAGATTGTTTATTTGTTTTAAGGGGGATAGAAGAAAAAAGTATGTTTGAATGCTGATAGCAATGATCTAGTGAAGAAGGAAGAGGGGTCCTTGAATAAGTGAGCAGGAGTGCCACCTAAGGTCAATAGCAGATGGACCTGAATGAGGTGCCCAGGTGGCTCATCTGCTGAAACAGGAGGAGGAGGCAGAATTTACAGACAGAAGCACATAAGTTTATAGATATAGAGGGTGGCCTCATCAAAATTCCCTTCTGATTACTTTATTTTCTTGGTGAAATGGAAAGGAAAGATCATGAGCTGAGAGATAGGGTGAGAGAGGAAGTGATGGCAGTGGAGGTCAGAATAAAAGATCAGGGAGTCAATTAGGACAGTAGCAGAGCAATGGACTAAGGAAATGTAATATAATTGCCAGGGAGCCTTAATGACCCACTTAGCAATGAGCTCCCCTTTAGAATGGAAGTCAAACACTCACAACTTAGCAGAATTCGGCATGATGCATCCCAGGAGGCTGGTGGACAAGGCCAAGGGTCAGAAGACTTGGAGTCTGGTCAGTCAGAGGTTCACCATCCACTTATGTGAGTCACTGAACCCTCTGAACCTCCTTGTATTTTATCTGTAAAATCGGGATATTCGTATCTGCACTGGCTTCCTCAGAAGAATCACGAAGTGGAACATGAGGAATACCTTCTAAAATGTTAAATTCTAAACACATCACGGATTACTAAAAGACTAGAGCAGGTAAGGCTAGAATAGCACAAGGAAAGGTGCGAAACTCATGGGGTCCCAATGAGGTCTTTCCAGAAGGGTGGCCTAAGGCCACTAGGGATGACAGGTGGGAGGTAAGGAAAAGAAAATGAAGTGAAGGAGGACACTCTGCCTAGACTACTGGCTGTTGTGGCCCGGGGCTGGTTGAAGCCCGTGAACTGAGGACATGGCACTCAGCAGACGCCCAGGGTGGGGGCTGCCACTGGCCCATATGCACTCTGTGTGAGTTAGAAACAGGCACGCCTTCCTCAAGACCCTTTGCTTCCACTTGTCATAAAACTGTCCTGATATACTTACCTTGTTAGAATAAGATATCTTCTTAACAAAAGCCTAAAAAATTGTAACAAATCTGAAAATCTACAATATTAATGTGTGAATGGCGCCCCCTAGGGTTGTATAGTGCACAACAGACAGCAGCTCTGTCTTGGCTGACCATCAACACCAACCAACCCCCTTCACTGACCACCCACTCACGATTATTTCTTTATGCCTATATTTAAAGCAACATCAGAATATGATGTTGTTTTTAAGATCGAAACTGAATATTATTCGTTTGTGTGAGGCAATAGTCTTGGCAGTGCTGGGTTAGGAGGGATCCTTGAAGAGCATTGACTTCCGGGAAGGATTTTACATAGACGTTTGGGCAGGTGGGAAGTCAATGGTACATGTACGTTATATGTACTGTTATATCAAAAACCACGCAGCCAGATAGAGAACAAGAAAATTAGACCCTCATTTCCTTGGGGCCCACTTTTCTAGCCAAATCCTATGGATAAGAAGCTGAATTTAAGGAGAGAAAGAATCACAAAAAGTTGTTTAGCAAGGTCAAATCCAGTTTTCCTTTCTCACACACACTCTGTATCTATTTCTTGGATAATTGCCACTTTATGAAATAATTGCTACCTCTTAGTGGATTCCCAGCCTGGCACTCAGCTGAGCATTTTAAGAGTATTATAGCATTTAATCCTTTCGACCAGCTTATGAGATCGATATTATTAGCTCCTTTTACAGATGAGAAAACTGAGGCTTGAAGAGGAGAGGTAATTTTGCCCAAAGTAAATAGCCAGTAGGTTGAGGAGTCGAGTCCTAACCAACTCTCTGAACATCCACAGCCACGTGCTCTCAGTCACTGGCGTGTCAGTCTCCCTTGGCACCCGATAAAATGACATTTAGTGTAACCAACCTTTTGGACTGCTTACAAGCCATGAAATAATGTATCTCTATGTTTTAAGGGCTTAGTTTAGCACTGGAAGACATATCATTGAAGCCAAAAATCAGAGGTGGTATTTATCTGTGCAATCGAAATTAGTCACTCAGTATCCTGACATTGTGTGTCCTCAGAGCAAGGCAAACTCAGGACCATAATTTGAAAAGTAAAAATACAAAAAAAACTCAGCTGATAATATCATTTCTGTATATGGAGGGCCAAGTAGTAGTAGCAAAATAAGCAAATTCCTATTTCAAAACTCAGAAAAATATTTCAGAGATGAAACAATCCACATATTTTTGAAACAAGCCGACTAACTGGACGAAATTTCCTCTCCCAAGCCAAAGGTCGATATTTTCCTTTATTTAAAGCCCTGAGCCCCCTCACCTGTCATTGCTGTGTGGTTGGTGACACTCCCCCTAGTGGCCTGGAAGAGTCAGCTTCCTTAACTAGCATAGCTCCAGGAAAATCTGGGAGGACTGCGGCACTCCATTTTCTTGTCTAATTTGCTGGAAACTGGTCTCTTAACAAATTGTGAAGGTGAAATCTGAGGAAGGGTGTGAAACATCAGATTAAAAATAACCAGTCCCCACCCGATGAGACAAAGAGGCAAAGGACCTACTGATTTTTACGAGAATGAGCATTAAGAAAAACCCTTGAAGCTGCTAAATCCTAGGGACTTTAAAGACTTACAATGTGAGGGCCAACCCCATTGACATCACAGTTCCTTCCTGCAGTCACAATGCTCATGAGCCACCCAAAGAAGAAGCCCCAGAAACATGAAGACTTTAGTCAGAATGCAATTGAGTTTATTTAGTATTTTGGCTTTGTAAGAGAGAAAAAAAATAAATCTCTGTTTCCTTTCAAAAAATCAAGTCAACAAAAAATAAAGCCAGAAAATTGAGCAACATGAGTTCAGGTATTTATCTCATGGATTACTCAAGGTGTCTAAATTTCTCATACTTTACTATCTTACTTATATTTCTTATTACATATAACACCGTAATAAATCTCGAAGAAGACCCCTGGATAGTTTGGGCACAACAGGGTGAGAAATTATTCCCTATTGTTATGGAACAGTTTGATCTAAATGAGCACATCTCAACAAAGTTTCCTAAGTGTCTAATGGAAGTACCTGAAGCATTTGTGATGATAATCTCTTCTAGCTGACTACAGATGTGATGGAGGCCTGGGAGAGAATTGGGGTAGGGAAGGAGGGAAGAGAGGAAGTGGAAAACAATTGGAAGCTTCCCTTTAAACTTCACCATATGTACAAAAACTGCCCTCAATGAAAAAGTAAATTTACCACCACTGCAAAAATTCACGTGCCCTGCCTAGTTCCTGATCTGATTCAGCATTCTGGTTGCCTAGATACGGATGTAAACAAAAGTGCCTCCCCGACTGCCGAGGAACAGCCAGATGAACCTGATGGCCCCCTTCCTGGCTCAGCCAGTGACCAAGAAAAGAAAGCAAGTACTTTTAGATATTCATATTCAAAATAGAGTATTTCGCTCAGCTTCTTTAAAGCCTAGTGTTGCTTAGAGAGTTCTAAGGAGTCCTGGAAGAGTTGTTTTTCTTTTCACTCTACTCACGTTTCCTGTTTGTTCTGCTTTGACAAAGTGACTGATGCCAGCCCAGGCTGCAAAGAAAAAGGGTCTCAATTTATGAACACATTCATTGGACTGACTTTCAATACATGGGGCTAAAAATTAACAAAAATTTAATAATTGTTTTTTATGAAGATTCAAAAGGAACTATGATAAACTCAATGTGGAGACTATCTCTAACATGAGAAAGAGAATAGCTAAATAGAATGTTTCTTTTATTAGTACTTGTCATATCTTCCCCATTAATGACAAAGAACATTCAAGAAGCAGTGTCTGTAGTCTTCGCTTTGTATTCTCGTAAGACCTGACCAGCAGATGGGGCCTTTGTGGTGGAAGGAGCACTGGGAAGCTAGCATAATATCCAGCACTGATTTTTGCTGTCTATTGGCTCTACCACACACTAACTGTGTGACTTTCAGCAATTACTTAACCTCTCTGTTTTCTCTTCTGTGAAATGGGCTAATTAGGCCTATCATACAGAGATGTGAGGTTTGAATCAGCCAGTAAGATAAAGGGCTTAGCAGGAAAGAAGGGCTCAGTCAATAGCTGTAATATAATTATTATCATCTTCTTTATGATCATGAGCAAATCCGTTACTTCTCTGATCTTCAGATTCCTCACCTATAAAAATAATCATCTTAAATTCTTTCTGTAACAAAGAAGGACTTCAGTTACTTAAGGTAATTAATGTTATCCACAAGGTGGTGATTCCCACCTTACAGGACTGTTGGAAGAATGAAATCACATCATATATATGGAGGTATTTTATAGGCCATTAAGCCATAAAGGGTCATAACATTTTAATGTGTTATTATGAAACAGGTGAAAACTGATACATGTAAAAAGTCCCATAATAACCACCAAGCTGTTTGTGAAAATTTTTATATAATTATGTTCTAGCTTGTAGAAACAGAGCTGACTCCTATATTGAATATTACTATACTCAATTAGCAAAGATATAAAAATTTAAATACTGTCCTAAATACATTAAAAAAATGCATAGAAAGAGGAAATAAATGTGCCACAACGTTAACGGCTTTTGCTCTAGATAGTAGAATTTTAAGTGAGAATTATTTTTCTGTATCTTTGACTTTTCTATGTTTTTCCAAATTTTCCTCCATCGTCAGGTTTAACATTTGTCACTTTAAAAGTATGTGAGTTGTAGGTGTGTTTTTGAGAAGATGCTATTTAGGATCTTCCAAATAAGATTTTAAAATTGATAAAAATAAAACAATAGAGAAGTCCAATTTTTCACTCGACAAGGAGAAAAGAAGACAATAACCCAGTAATTTCAGGTCCTTGGAGACAATATTCATATTTCTTTCATTCCACGAATACTTACAAAGGGTTACTAGGTGCCAAACCAATAAGGCCAGGGACCACCCAATTGCTGAGGGAATGCCACAAACAGACTCCCACAGGCAGGGCTAACGGTGGAGATGCAAGAAGAAAAGAGCTGGCATTAAGGAGGTGAGGAGCTGGAAACTGGAGTGAATCACAAACCAGGCCAGAAGGACAGTCATGTTCCTCACAGAGTTAGGATGGTTTCCTAACACAGACACCTGGGTGCCTGGTGGACCAGTGTATCCGCTCTTTAGAGGACGACCTGTCTTCAGAGCATCAGGACCATTGCAGACCCCACTCAGCCCTGTGGCGAGAGGTCTAAAGCGTTATCATGGCAACTCACTAGCTCCATCCTAAGCAGCCTGGGGCCTGTTCTAGTTGCCCGCCACCAAGGGGCCCCAGCAGGAGAGCCTGACTATTGCCAGGTGTTCTGTATTAGCTTCCTCGATAGTGGACTTTCCTTTTTAAATTTTATCAAAGGAGAGTGGTTCCCAATTAAGTTTCTTAGGCCCTAAATTAAGAAGTAAGAAGGATAGTTCCTTAACCACTTGCATGTGGGTCTTAACATATTCTGCTCACCATTACAGTATATGATAACATAAACCAAGAAAAAATATCCTAGGAACATATTTTGCTTAAGTTTTAAACTGAGGTAGAATACCACTCATACTCTCTCTCTTTTGATCCAGTTCAGTGACACACTCTTAAAATGACGATAAATCTGTGTCCTGTTTTTAAACTTAAAAATAAAAGAACATTCGAGTTTAAAGCAGTTTCAGCATATGCAAAAGAGTGAGTACATTTGGTATCCTCTTTCCTCCTAGAAATACTGCAAAATTATGAACTTTCATGCAAATAGAACTTTCTAGTAGTACCATTTTATTGAACTAGTTAAGTGTTCATATAGCCAGCTGTTTAATACTAGTAAATTATGTACAGAACTGAGCTCTGTACTTTTATTTCTCATTGACTATAATAATCTGACATCCAGGTTTCTTAGAAAACAAAATTACCTGGATAGACTAGTTTTCTAGTCTTGGCTTTGTTTTTGAAAATTAGCTGATTTCTCTTGGAAATCAGCATGTCAGGAATAATTCACTCTGTGAGGACTTCTTTACTGACTCAGCCAATAATCTTTGGATAGTTCATTAAAGAATTATCTAAGAATAATCTGTGGCTTTGACTTTTCCAAAAAGTTTCTCCTGACTTTATACCAAATCTATGAACTGCAACTCTCTAGTATCTTCCCAGAACTTGATTTTGGTTTTAGTCTCTAGCAATACAAATGGAGCATGTGCATGGTTAACTGGGCTCATGGTCTATGATCTATAGTAAATATTTTGTTTCAAATTAAAATATTTCTATAGGATAAGATAGGTAAGATTTCCCTATAAAATAGCTGATGATACATTTTAAACCCATGACCTCTGTTTTAGGTAAGAGTCTCTCCAGCCAAAATGTCAACCAAGAATTCTACAGATCTAGTTGAATATGTTGACAAGTAAGTCTGTAAATTACAACCAGTTTTAACTATTTACTGTATTTAATGGTTGGGTTACACATTAAAGTGCCTGAATGAGATCTTTGAGTCCCTCTAAACTAATTTTCTGCTTTCAGACAGACTGTATTAAACCATCTCAGAAAGATGAACCTCTCTATCCTATTCCTTTCTGATTGACGGAGCAAGCCAATGTTATCACCTCCTCTGTAAACAACCTCCATAGGTTCCTGTAGATTTACGAATAAAATAATACAACACAGACAATGAATGACATATGACAAGACCAGATGTAGCTAACTATGACTTTCAAAATAAACCAAATAAATACGTTAACATTTCAAGATAAAAACTCAGGACATTTTTAAATAAACTAATCATGAGAAAATTTTTTCTGTTGTTGTAGTGCCACCCCTGAAGCTTATCAGGGGACGGTCTACAAAAGAGGGACAACTCTGGGGAATTGGAAATATAGCATAGAATTGAGACGTGCCCATTGTCCAAAAGATCCTAGAATTCCAGTTGGCAAAGGTGGGATCACAGAGGCGATGCATATTAATTTGAGTTTCTATTCCATATGTCATGTGTCTGATGTGCCCATTAATGTTTTCAGGACACTTCAAATTTACTCTCAGCCCTTCCACTAATTTTCTGTGTGACCTCAGTCAGTTCCATATGTCCCTGGATTTTTGTTAACTTTCATTTGCCAAATGAAGAGGTTGGACCAGAAGCTCTCTAGGACCCACTGCAGCTTTAAAATAATTCTGATCCTAAATAACACACCATGACCACAGAAGAAAAATGACCAAACAAATGAAAAGAGTCAATGTAAAGAGAAAAATCTAAATACTGAATTTTCATTTTTTCAAAAGAACCTTTAACAATGAAGATGATAAAATATTAAAATCCACTGATTTTTATTGCAATAGGTTCACAATTAAGAATTTCCCTGTTCCTTAGCCAATTGAATTTAATACATTCCAAATAATTCAACCACAGTATTTTGGCCCCTCTTTTCATTCTGCCCATAACTTGTATTTGCTTACATGGCAATGAGGCCATAATTTAGAGAAAATGGAACCAAACAAGGTTTGGAACGATGGAACCAAACTGTTTAAAAATACGACATTTGGATAGATGACACACTTCTTCTGTGTTAAGGGCAATGAGTGTCGTATGCACAAAAATAATTATCATAAATGGATACACATAAATGGATATTGCCATCCAAGGAGAAGAGGGGGACCTGTTCCCACCTGATTCTCCACATGATAAATGGAAAACAGAAATCATTTTTCTGATCTGTTAAATTCCAATATGAACCCAAGTGGATTTCTGTAGCCCAGGATGGTGACCTACATTCCAGGAGATGAGAGAACAAATTCCCAGAAGATGACAACAAACTTAAAAAGAAATCTAAGGAAATTTTTGCCATTTCTTGGATTCCAGAGAAAGTAAAATTAAGACAAAGGGGAAGAAATAGTCTATAATTCAAAGCAAAAGCATGAAGAAAATTATCTGGCCCCAACATTCATCTCTATTGATCTCCCCCACATCTCTTCTCTTACTGTCTAAGCCATATATCTAGAGCTTTCTAGGTACCACCTGAGATGGTTGGTTTTCTTTTGGTCTCTCCCCTCTAATCTCCCAGAACAGGCTGCAAACTCCCTAAAGGCAGGGACTCTATGGCCTTATGGGTTGTGATACCCCTACGGTAGCCTGTCATGGTGCATTGAATGTTCTTTCCTAAGGAACCGCAGTTGACATATTTAATGGAGAACAATGGTGGAACAGTTGAATCTTTAGGGCTCTGCTTAGATAGCAGCAGACTCCTGGGTAGCTGATTAACTAGAAAAGCAAATGGCATTTGGGCATTTCAATCATCAATGCAGATATTTTGAACTGACATATTGAATCCAATAAAATAAACATAAATAAACAATGATTTTTAAAATACCTTGATCCTCCAGTCATAAGACACATTGAGTGGGAACAAATTTACTGATATACAAATAGAGTACTTATACAAGTAAAAGTCACTATCAACTCATTAAATTGCCTGTATATATATTACATATTCCCAGTGGTTCTGCCTTATAAATCTACATGGATATATTGATAGGTAACACTAAAAACAAATAATAACAACCACCAAAAAAGTAAAAATCCAGCAACAAAAGAGATAATGCCTATCCTATGAACAAGGTTTGACTAGAGATACACATGTTAAAAAGACAGACAGACTGAGTATTTACAGGACCTTCTCAGCCTCAGGCAGTTGGAACAACACCCACGCATTATTAGTACTTGTTAAATGTTAGGCCATATTAATAATCCATGGAGCAGGGGAAGGCGGAATGCTTGCAATCATTTATAGGACAATTATGGTGACATTATATTAAAGGCAGTAAATAATTCTGATTTCCACATGTGTTCATCGATTCATGATGAGCAGACATCCACTGATTTTGTGACACTGTATCCAGGGCTCTTTCAAGCTTAATTGTGCAGAAAAGCACCAAAGCCTTTTTTCTTTTTCTTCTTTTTCTCCTGCTCGTGGAAGGAGCACTGTGTGGAGGCCAGGCATCTCTGGTCTATGCTTGAATCTGCCTCTAATCAGCTATGTGACCTTGAGAAAAAGACAATGTCTTCTCAAGGCAATCTCCACCTCCTATAAATTGGGGTGGGATTTTAAGTGGTGGATGATGAGCAGCCTGAGTCCCAGGGCTGTCTGTGTGTAAGAAACCTCAAAACAGTCTGCATGGCTTATGAAGAAGGGGATACATGGGCCACTCCAGTTGTTCCCAAGTTCTTATTAACTGGCAGACCTTGTCCCTGGCCCACTGACCATATTCATTGTGAAAGCTCTCTGGATTCTTGCCACGCCTAAGGGTTTCTGCCCAGAGTGAGAATCATGCTGAGGTCAGGCTGAGCCTGGTCTCAGTTCTCTAGAGCAGAGGGGGAGCACCTCCAACTTCTGGGCCTCAAAGAGGACCCTTAGGACTCCAAGAAGAGATGTGAGCCAAGCAGAGCAAAAGTGACTAGGGTGAAAAATGACATAATGTTGGGAGCAAGTTATATGTCTAAAAGCGGAGGAATAAATACATCTTATCTCTCTGAGAAAAACACAAATATAACAGGAAGAGTTATTAATTGGTCTAAACAAAGCTGCTGTGATGTAAGAAAAAGAGTTAAAGAGGCAGGTTAAAATGTTGCCCAACTGAGTTTCTTATAATTTCCAGGCTTCAGTTTCTACCTACATTGAGAAAAATTTCGCTTATGCTACGTGGTAGTTGTGGGAATGAAATAAAATAATGTTTATGAAAGTGATATGTTGACTATAGGCCTATAGAGAAATAAGAGAGTATAATAATAAGTTCCTTGCATTTCTCCTGGGCTAACAACTCCCTTCAGATAATTTATCATCTACATTAGTCTGCTAGGGCTGCCATAACACAGCCCCACGGATGGGGCGGCCTAAAATGACAGAAATCTATTGTCTCACGATTCTGGAGGTTTGAAGTCTGAAATCAAGTTGTCAGCAGGGTTGGTTCCTTTTGACAGCTCTGAGGGAATCTGTTTCATACCCGTCTTCCAGCTTGTGGTGACAGCCGACAATCCCGAGCATTCCTTGGCTTGTAGATGCATCACTCCAATCTCTGCCTTCATCTTTGCGTGGTATTCTTCCTCTGTGTCTGTCTTCACATGGCCATCTTCTTATAAGGACACCAGTCAGATTGGATCAGGGGCCCACCCTACTCTAGTATGACTCATCTTAACTACATCTGCAATGACCCTATTTCCAAATAAGGTCACGTTCTGACGTACCAGGGGTTAGGGCTTCAACATATCTTTTTTTGGGGGGAGACACAATTCAGCCCATAACACCATCTAATAAGTACTAATAATTATAACAACACATGTTTATGACACTTGCAGACATTACAAAGCACTTCAGGTACATTACAATTGATAACTCGTAGCCAGCTGGGTAGGGCAGGAGTCACTGTCTCCATAGGACAGAGAAGGAGGTCTCTCCTCTCTCCTCCTAAGAGGGGTCAAAGTCAGTAAGTGGCGGAGGCAGAACTTGAACCCAGGTCTTCTAACTCCAAGTACAGTGTTCTTTTCCCTGGAGACTTACGTAAGTACCACACACACCCCTCAAAATAGCAAAGTAATATGGGAAAGTGATACAAAACGCTGTGGGAACTCCAAATATCATCAAAACAATTTGCTGCTGCAGTTTATATACATTTGACCTGTGAGTGTAACCCAGACGTCCACCATGCCCTCATTCACACAGGGACTCTGGAACACTTGCCAACCTGAATGCCTCCATGAGAAAGCATCACAACAGGTACACCCTTAATTCTGTGATTTTATTGCAAACGATACTGAACGTGAGGAGTTTGCCTCATATAGTACACAACTTTTCACTGTAACCAGTCTCTTTCTCCAGTCTTTTCTTGGCTGTGTTGCTATTTGGAGGCCTCTCTTTCCAGGCTCCTCCGTGCAGAGCCTGTGCAGGCCCAACCCCATTGGCCTTGGTCTGCTTCTTTCTGGATTGTGCCCGCCAAAACTCGAATTGCCTCCCTTCCCCCCAGAGCATTCAGCCCTACATAAAAACTCAGCCATGGAGGCTTCGATAGCTACCCAATCCATCAGCCAGTGTGGTTATAAACAAGCAAAGGAGAAACCATAGAAAACGTGTTTTCAATTTCATGGCTCCCCCACACACTCACAGATTATTTTAGTGAGGCATCAAAATGTTCTTTAAAATTTCACTTTATTTTTCTTTTCCTCAGGACTCTGTGCAATGAGAATGTAACTGGTCATATAAGGGATATCACAAAAATGAAAATTCTCTTCAGTTATGCCCTTTTGTGTTCTAGAGAAAGGTTTAAATTTTTATCTCTTGAGTATTACAGCTTGCCAAAATGGTTACCAGAATCTCCTAAGTAAATTTAGTGCTCTATTCACAAGAACAGAGCAAGCCGAGAAGTGAGAGTCACTCTGTACCGATGTATCTGCCAGCGACAGCACAGCTGGTGTAAGTCACACCCAACTGCAGAGAAATAGAACTCAGAGTTTGTGGAAAATCTGTTCAGATTCAGTTTCCAGCTACATAATCAATGGTTTACGTAAAGCACAAATATCTCTCTGAAAAGGCCCCCTAGGAATTCTTTCTCCTATGGTTAGTAACTCCATCTGAACTAGCCTGGAATATTCAGTTCTTTCTTTCCTTTCACTGTTAAATTTAGATATAAGTCCCACTGATATCAGATGCTAATAAAGCAGTGAGTGTTTTTACTTCACTAAAAGAATCAGGGCAGACACATCTTGCTGCTAGTGAAAGGCATCTGTTTTAACCTTTTGGATGAGCTCATAATTTGAACAATCATATCATCAGGAATTCTCTTAGAAGACTGAGAATGTTCACATGTGTGTTCTTCCACTTGTTGACTTAGAAAGGTCAATTGGAAAACAATATTCTTTCCTTATGGCAATGGAAATAGGAAAAAAATATAAGCTCCATGTTTATCATGTAGAAATCATGCAAATAGAACTAAGCAAAGCATCATTTGGTGCTTCGTTAAGCATCATCAGTAAACAGTAATAATACTACTCCAATAGTAAATCTTACACATGAAAAGAAATTTCAAAAAGGAACACACTCTCTCCTTAAATATAAAATAGCTTTTAAAATTAAACTTTAAAAGCCAAAAAAAGAGAAATATCTACAGTCCAGCATTTATATAAGTCACTTAGTGTCCCCATGGTTGCAGGCAAATACATCCCATAGCACCAGGTGCTGCCCTCCTTAGAGGCTTCCTTCAATGTGCCAAATAGCAACAACATTGAGGCCATGACAGGCAGGGCCGCAGACTGGCATCTGAGCAGTGGCAGCAGCCCTGTTCCACTGGTCCCTCTACTGGCCTAGGTCTGCTTCCTCATGTTCTTTCTGGATACAGTCTTGACACCAGCCAACAGCACACCCAAAGAGTGAATGCACATGGGCCCCTTGGAACCCTGGGCCGGAGGGCAGCTGCGTGGAGTTGGTTTCACTGCCTCCTACCACATGCTTCTCACATGTTGTCTCAGAACCTACAGCCACACAGCAAAGGAGGCCCTGTGAGCCCTGTTTAAATATGAATGAACTGAAACACTTGTTCGGGAAGTGGTAGAACCTATGTTCTGTCCTCAGTCTCTCTTGCCTTCCGACTTGCCAAGCTGCTTCTGAATGCCTACATAACGTGAGCTTCACATTCCGTATTTCACTCTGCAGCACTTCATTATGTATCCTGCTTTATATTAGTCACTGGTTCCCATCACTGGTCTTAAATAAATCAGGGATGTTCAGTTTTTAGAATACATTATAGTCACCTAAATCCTTGTTTAAAATAAATATTCTTGCTTTCCCCCCGACTTCCCCAAAATTGTGATTTAGTAGGTCTCTGGTGGAGCCAAGGAATCTGCATTTTAATAACCTCCCTCCCTTCCCCACCCCCACAATAGTAATGCAAGTTCCTCTATGAGAAACACTGAATTAAACCAGGTTCCTTGAGGAACAGACCCATTATGGATTGTGCATTGATTAGAGTAAACATTTAGCAAATATTTCCTGACATGTTTCTTTTTCAACTGACATTTTCATCAGTAAATCACTAGATACAGATACAGTGCTTTCAGCTGCACATAACAAAAACTCCAACCAAAATGGCTTAGACTTAAGGACGTTGATAGCTCACATTAAAAATCTAGAGCTTGGCTAATTTAGAGGCTGAGCAACATCATCGAGCATCAGGTGTTTTCCATCCTTCTTGCCTGCCCTCCTCTTTTCCCTCATGATCACGAGGTGGCTCCGGCAGTTCTAGGCATCAAGCACAGACAAACACAACAACATCTAGCAAAGAAGAGGAAAGTGTCTTCTTGTATAGCTCTTCTTGAAGGCAAAGAAAGCCAGAAGCCCCACAGTAGGTTTTCCCTTGCACTCAGTGGCCAGAATTGCTTCACATGCTCCTACCTAAACCAATTGCATCTCAGTCCAGAAGAATGGGACCACCATGATTAGCTTGCCCCACTGGAGGACACAGTGGACAGGAGGATGAAGCAAATCAGGCAGAAGGGGGAATGGCTATTAGGAAGGTAACCAATAGCATCTGCCACACTGGGAACTCCTAAGAGAAAGAGTCTAACCATTGAGAGGAATGCAGCATAATTTGCAGGTGTCTGTATAGGACTGAAGCCTGGGGATCAAATACCCTTTCACTGGCAAATCTAGGCTGCAGATTGTCTAGAGGCCAGAAAGCAGCACTAGCTCAAGGAAAATAACAAGCAAATCTGTAGCCCACCACAAGGCTGCTGTCACCATCAGCATGGCCTGACATCCTCTTCCCTCCTGCCTGTGACTCAGACAGCCAGCCCAGGGCAGCACTGTCAGCATGTTGGGGTTTCAGAGGAGCGGTTTTTATATATATATGAGGTTCCATTTAGTGATTTTCCAGAAGAACATTTTTGAGCCAAATGAGTAGGTAGATGGAATCTGGTTAATAAAACCCCTTAGCAAAGCCATCTTTGTTCCTTAACTGCTTAGGTGACAGGAAAGAGGAATCTCACCCAGGCTGAGGCTCTGTTATTCTACTCAAGAGAGGGAACTGTAAACCTTGAGGCTATAACAACCTGTAGCTTTATGGAACCATTTTTTTCCTCCAGTTTTTTATCAATTGAACCTTAAGGGAACAGTCCAGCGGGAGAAATCAGTCAGTCAGTCGACAAATATTTATTGACCACCTACTATATGTCAGGCACTCTTCTCAGTGTTGGGGACACTGTGGAGAACAAGTTAGATAGAGTGCCTGCCCATGAGGAGCTTTCATTCTAGGGATGGAGGGCAGAAATAAACACAAACAAGTAAAGAAGATAATTTTAGGTAATGACAAATGCCATAGAGAAGATGAAATGAGGCATTATGATAGAACGTCACTGAGGGGAAGGCTTGTCTGACAAGGGGAAATTGGAGTTGAGACCTAAACAAGGAGAAGGTGGCAGCCATGGAGTGACTGCAGGGAAGAGCATTCCAAGCAGAAGGAACAGCAAATGCCAAGGCTCTGAGCTAAGAACTAGCTTAGCATGTTTGAGGAACAGAAAGAAGATCTATGTGGTTGAGTGAGAGTGAACGACGGGAAGAGTGAGAGGAGATGAGGTTGAAAAGGAGAGCAAAGATTTTACTCTCAGACACTGGAAAAGCTATCGAAGGCTTTAAGTAGGGAAGAGCTATCCTTCACACTTTGGGAAAGACCACTCTAGCTATAGTGCAGAGGATGCACTCTTCATTAGGGGGCAAAAGTAGAGGAGATGATGGTGGCCAGGACCAAGAAAGGATGAAAGAACTAGCAAAGAGTGGATATGGAGCCTGGGGACACTTACGTCTGTCATTTCTGCTGCCACTCTACTGGGTCACGTAAGTAGCACTAAATCACTTGCTTCTGCTTATTATCTCCTGGACTGATAGGAATCTACGAGAGTTAAGGTTAACGTTTGATTTTGGAGTCAGCCTTGAGTTTCAAATTCTGTCCCTGACATCTGCAAGTTGTGTGACCGTTCCTTCTTCTGTCTGGTAAATTTCCTCAATCTGGTCTCCCAAATCATTAATTCATTCTTCAGCTATTCCCTCTGTCATATTTATCCCACCTTTTATTTTTATTTCAACTATTATAATTTCTTATGCCTAATATTTCAACTTGTTTACTTTTCATGTTTTTCAGTTTTTTGTTTTCATTTTGCTGATATCTTCCCGTCTTCTTTTTTAATATACTTATTAGCCTTTTAAAAAATTTCTTGTTGCATATATTTTAGTATTTCTTTTCTGTAGGAATCTGTAATCCAGTAGATTGTTTATTTGTTGGCTGGTTTTTGAAAAGACTCTGCTCCTCAGGTGTCCTGATATTTTGGCCTGTGAGTTCATCTTTCCCTTGGGGATTTCAGCCAGACCTAGTCTCCATTGTGTCTTATCAGCGCCAATGAGCTCAGCAGGTGGGGCGGCGTACGGTGCCTGGACCCCAGCACAGTAAAACCACAGCCAACTACTCCCCTTCTTACAAAATAACTTCTTCTGTCAGGCCTTCACCTTTCACTCCTCAGGCAGAAGTCACAGGAGGAGAGCAGTTGCTTTCCCACCCCTGGGGCATGTGGAGGTAGAACAGTGTAGAAGCAACTGCCCAAGGTCGGTTGTTCCCCAAGATTTTGTTATTATCGTTTCAGCATCTTAGGAACACAGGACTTCTGCCTTGCCTGATTTAACTCTTGAGGACACTTAGACCAGAGTCTGAAATTTCACACAGTAGAGCAGTTTGTCCCAAGGCAATAGGGGCAGAAGCAAAAGCAGAATTACGATGGTCCCTCTTCCCCATTTTACCGTCCCACAACCGTATCTCTTGCCCCAGGCCAAAGCGGCCACCTGGCTGAGGTTGGGTTGCCCAGGAAACAGGCTCTGAGACAGAGATTGCTGTGAACAGAAGGCTTATTATGGAGTCCTCCGGGATCAACATCTGTGGAAGGGAGGGAAAGGATACAGAATTGAGCAGGATGAAAAGTACTGTGATGCAATACCCATGAAGACTTCAGCTGATCCCACAGGGAGCTCTGAAGCTGAGACAGGCCTTCAAAGTTGTTCTGAGAGAGAGCAAGCGTGCCAGGCCCTTATACCCACACATTGACCAATCACTGGACTCGAGCTGCCCCAGAAAGTGGGCATGACCTTGGGCAAGGTGACTCTCTTCACCAAGGCAGTTCCCAGAGAAGGCTAACAGCTGGGGTCTGTCAGCTGGCAGTGCTCCCAGCAGTTGGGGAAATAAATCCTTCCTTCCTGAAAGGGGAGCTGGTGGCAGATGACAGCACCCACCAGACCACCCCACACATTCCCCAGTTTAAAATAGCCCCCGCTGTCTCAGGGGTTTTTCACAGTTTCTCTCTCTAGGTACTCCAAAGTTTTAGCATGGAGGAGGACAGGAAGCCAGTAGTCTTGCTGGTTCAGCATTTGCATAGGGACCATAGTGAGCCCAGGATCGTTCACTCCTGTGGAACTGCGCAGCTCATTTCCTTTCTCTCTGCGCTCTGTCTCCCGGAAGCTGTCATGTTCCTCTGGGGCAGATTTCCTTTAGCCAGCTTGTTCACTCTAGACCTTGACTCTCTCACTCACCGAGAACTTCACTTTTCCTGGGAAGCTGAAGCTCCCTGGGTCCTCCAAGACCAACCAGAGTTGAGCAGAGGTGCGCTGTGGTGGAAGGAGCCACACCAGAGGGCTCTACAGGTACAGCAGGACCCCTGAGCATGGGGGATGGCAACATTTTGCATGGGACCAAAGTCTATCCTGTGAGCCCCACAGACCCCCGGTCATTTATCAAGTCCTAGATCCTCCCCTCAGAAGAACCCCAGATTTGCTTTCCAGCAAGATTATCCTGATGGCAGTGGAAGGAGGGGGTACCAGGGAAGCTACAAGTGGAGACAGAAGCCAGTTAGAGGACTGTGACAGTGTGGTGGTTTTAAACTGTCCACAAATTCTTTAACACTCCGTTTTCCAAGAGGTGGAATCTAATCCTCCTCCTCTGGAGTGTAAGCTGAACTCAGTGACTTGCTTCTCAGGAATAGGCTGAAGCAAAAGTGATGGCGTATGGCTCTAGAGACGAGGCCACTAGACTTTGCTAGTAAGCAAAGTAAATTAAACAAAGAAAAAGACGTGACAAAAGCAGCTTGTCTTTCAAGATGCTTATCTGTGAAGGGAAGGAGTAATGCCAGTCGGGGCCATCAGGATTTTACCTCTTTCTCTGCCCTAATACGAAATAGCCCTAGCTTTTCTCTTTTTCCTTTTCTAATTTACTTTGTTTACTCTTCATGGAATTTCTGACTTCTTTTGTTAATCTTTACCTTTGAGCCATCATTTCTTCCAGCTTAACAGGCAGCCCTCTCATCAAAATAGAATTATCAGGTATTAAATTTATGTGGATCCAACTGGGCTTGTTAGAGTAGTGGGTAAAATATATGACAATTTCTGCTTGGGAGACATGAAAAATGCGTGCCACCAGATCAACGCATAAGTGAGATCTGCTTCTTAGACAAGACATAAACCAAGATTCTAACCACGCAGGTACTTAAGGTCCTGCCAAACTTTTCACAGGGGAGAAAATACAGGCAGAGAAGTGTGGATGCACGTTCTGGTTCCGCTCCTCCTGTTCATTCCAGTTCATTCCTGTAACGCCTCTGGTGTGCTTTCCTTTTCCTGACCAGGGGTCATTCTTTTCTTCCCATCATTCCACACCCCGCGAGGAGTCAGCTAGAAGACAGACTGAACAACCAGGAGCGCACCATAGCTTTCCTCCTTGAACAAGCCTTCCGCATCAAGAAGGACATCTCTGCTTGTCTTCAGGGGACACACGGCTTTCGAAAAGAGGAGTCACTTGCCAGGAAGCTACTGGAAAGCCATATCCAGACCATCACCAGCATCGTCAAAAAACTCAGCCAAAACATTGAGGTAGTTCTTTATGTCCTATATGTTGGCAAAGATTATCAACCACCAGTGTCATTTTTCAACTATAGAAATGAGTTGCGATTAACTTTAGATGGTTACAATTTAGTTGCCTCAGAGGGAAACAGTTCATTATTTCAACCACTCATTTATGCCAAAAAGTAGAAGGAAATTCCACTAAAAAGACACTCACTCAATATCTGTTTTGTGTCAGGCATTGTGCTAAGGTACTTATTTTAGTCCAAATCTTCAAGATTCTACTAATGTAGTCATTTCACGTAGGGGTTTTCATAATGCATTGGCAATGCTGGTTCATAGGCCCATCACACTCTGACCCCAACCATCTCTCTGACCCCATCTCCTCCCCCTCTCTCCTTTACTCTGGTCAAACTGTTCTCACAGCTCTTCCTAGAACATACCAAACATGTTCTGGCATCAGGACTTTGCACATGCTATTCACTCTGGCTGGATTGTTTTTGCCTAGATATTTCTATGAAATGTTCTTCATTTCTTTCAGGTCCCTGCTCAAATATCACCTCATCAGAGAGGATTTCTTTGACACACTATAAAACAGCACCCCTCCCAACCCAACAGTCACACTCCCCTTAAACCTTGCGTTATTTTATCCATATCACCTATCGCCAACTACCACGGCTTATATTTGTTTATGGTTTGTTTCCTCTTCTAAAATTTAATCTCCATGAGGGCAGGGACTTTGTTTTGTTCACTGCTAAACCCCACACCAAATGATAACAGTGTGTGCTAGGTAGTCAGCACTCTGTAAGTATTTCCTGGATAATGAATGGATGAATGAATGATATTTAAGATGTTAAAGGAAAAATACAGTTTCTGATCAAAAAAGAAAATGCTTTGGTAAAACCAAGATAAATAGATTTTTCCTACAGGTCTTTCAGAATTTTTAAGAGCTAATGAGCATGACGAATCTGGGGTAGTAACTTTTAGGGGAAAGTTCCAGAGAATACATTTTAGGAAACTGGCCAAAAGTTTGTGGAATTACGAGAATTCACAACAGTCCCCTCCTTTTCCACTATCAGAGAGAATAGCAGATTAGACAAAAAACAAATCAAAAAGATGACATTGACCCAACAATGGCTTCCTCATGACTTTGTATTTAAGGCTGTTTATTAATTTATTTTCTGTCTGTAGGATCTGTCAGCCCCCATAATGTGTTTGAGGGAGTGTGGAAAGTTTAAAAACCTTAGTGAACTTTTAAAAGGCACTTTATGAGTATTTAGCACATATTGAATTGATGCCAGAGCCTAAAAAGTCAATGCCACTTTTCAAAGAGGTCAAAGGTGTTTGGAGACATCATAAAGTATCATAAAAATGACAAGAGATAAGCAGCTCAGGACCTTTGAGATGACGAGAAGATCAAGTACACACAGCACTAGCACTAGAATAAGGTCCTAATTAAGGCTGGCCTGGTGGTATAGCGGTTAAGTTTGCATGCTCTGCTTCAGTGGCCCAGGATTCACTGGTTTGGATCCCGGGCATGGACCTACATACAGCTTGACAAGCCATGCTCTGGTAGGTGTCCCACATATAAAGTAGAGGAAGGTGGGCATGGATGTTAGCTCAGGGCCAGGCTTCCTCAGCAAAAAGAGGAGGATTGGCTGCAGATGTTAGCTCACCGCTAATCTTACTCAAAAGTAAAATAAAATAAGATCCTAATTTAGGAATCACAACTTCTGGGTAATTGAAAAGAGAATAGCATTCTCAGAAATATCAAAATGCTTCTGGAATGTTCTATACTTTGATTTGGGTAGTTATTACACAGTTGATTATATTTGTCAAAATCCATCTAGATATATATTTTGCTTTGTACATTTTAATACATATTAATTATACTCCAATAAAATACTCAGCACTAGGGGGAAAATGTTTCCAGATCTCTAGAATTCTTGCCAAGAGCTTCTTTTCCTATAATAATTGATTATCTTAGATTAGCTCTGAAAACAGACAAAGCCAAAACATATTCCAAATACTATAAAATTTCAGAATATTTGCAATCCTTTTAAGGGCTTGGTGTATATAGGGAAAATAAGAAGGACTGGTCTGACGGTCCAGAAAACTGAATTAGAAAATAGTTAACTGCTGTAGATAATGTAGTTAAAACATTATGAAGAAGAAACAATTAGGCTACCTTTAGCAAATAGCTAAGACTATAAAGTAACAAGCACTTTATAGAGAAATGGATGCTATTCGAGTATTTCTTTTTTGTGAGGAAGATTGGCCCTGAGCTAACATCTGTGACCATCTTCCTGCGTTTTATATGTGGGACGCCTGCCAAAGCATGGCTTGATAAGCGCTGCGTGGGTCCGCGCCCAGGATCCGAACCGGTGAACTCTGGACGCCCGGAGCGGAGAGTGGGAACTTAATTGCTACACCACTGGGCCAGCCCCTCAAGTATTTTTTAAAAACCTAAACCCATTAACCAGATCAGTCCTTTTGCAAATTAGCCTGCAAGACAGATCCAAGTGTGAGCTGAGGCTTGACTTGGGTCTTTCAAAGGAATGAAAAACAATTTTTTAGTCAACTATAATTTCAGCATTTAAGTTGCTTGTTTCTTTTTATATTCAAATTATTTTTTAAGCTGGCAGCTAATTATGTTTTACAATTAATTTATTTTTAACTCAAGAAAAGAGAATTTTTTGTATAATATTGCTTTATTGTGGTTTTCCCCCCAACTTATAAAAGCAATACTTGTTCATTGTAATTATTTTGACAGTTTAGGAAAATATTTTAAAACATGAGAAAAAGTTCCTCACAATTGCATCACGGAACGGCAATCTCCACCAACACTCAGCTGCATCTCGCTCTAGTCTTCCCGAGCATCCCACTTAGGAAGCTGAGACCACATCCATCAGCACAATCTTTAATAGGAAACTATAGCATAAACTCTTTCATATGTCATTAAAAGCTCTTTGCATGGTCAATGCACCATGATTTGCTTAATTATTCCCCTAATATTGAAATATCTTTGTGCATAATTACGTGTCTGCATTTGGACTCTTTCCATAGTATATACTCTTAGAAGTGGAATTACCAGGGTATGAACACTGTGAAGGCTCTTGTTGCCTGTTGCCAAATTGGTTTCCAGAAAGTTTATACCTATTTGCACTTCAATTAGCATTACGTGAGAGTGCTTTTTTCACTGTGCCCATGCCAGCATAATTTATTGTTTTAATCTTTGCTAATTTGATGGGATAAAAATGAAATCTTTTTCTTTTTTCACTTTTTAAAAGTGACTATTACAATTTGCATTTTCTCTGTCAATAATCTGTTAGTGTCTTTTGCCAATTTATCTTTTGGGCTTTTAGCGCTTTTTAATTTTTATTGATTTGATGAGCTTTTTTATTAATTAAGGATAATAACTAGTTATATGTTGGTAAATGTTTAACAATCGGCATCAATTTTTTTCCTGGGTATAAAAACCTGGTTATAGTGTTTCCCTATTTCCATGGTGTAAATCCTCTCATCTTGATTGATTTCAAGCACCAGCTGACATTACTTAACACAAAGATGGGAAGAGAGATGCACAATTGGCTCTCATGTACAGGTGCATACTGATTGTAGCACACCACTGCAGCCCTTAGCAATCGCAATTGTTATAAATGTTTTTTCCATTTGTTGTTTATATCTTAATTATATTTACAATGTTTTTCGCAATTTTTATATAAAGTTAAATGTTCCAGTATACTGCTTTGCAATTTCTCTCATTTCTTTTAAGAAAAGAAATGTCTTCATTCAGAGATTAAGTAATCTCCTCTATTATCTGTTCATAAAATGTTTTAGTATTTAGCAGAGAAAGCTTCCTTTCATCACTATTCTTTGTCAAAACAAAGCAAAACAGCATCTACTGCTATGGTCTGAATGTGTGTGTTCCCACCAAAATTCGCAGGTTGAAATTCTAATGCCCCACGTGATGATATTAGTAGGTGGGGCCTTTGGGAGGTGATCAGGTCATGAGGGTGGAGCCCTCAGGGATGGGATTAGCGTCCTTATAAAGGAGATCCCACATGGCTGCCTAGTCCCTTCCACTGCGTGAGGACATGGCAAGAAGCTGGCAGTCTGCGACCCAGAAGAGGGCTCTCCCCAGAACCCGACCATGCTGGGGCCCTGATCTTGGACTTCCAGCCTCCAGAACTGTGAGAAAAAAAATTTCTGTTGTTCATAAGCTGCCCACTCTGTGGTATTTTGTTATAGCAGCCCAAATGGACTCACAGACATGCAAAAACAAACAGGCAAATGAAAGAAAACATAAAAACTCTTGCTAGTGTTTTTGACACTTTCACGTCTTCAATTAAAGCTTTATTTGCTCTTGGGTTCTCTCAACCTGCCAATTTACAAATGGGCAAGATTCTGTATATGGTTTTTGAAGTTTCTATAATTCATTTGCTACAAAAATCCTTCTTTTCCCCCCAAAATTCATAAACATGTTTAAACATAGTTCAGGCCTTATTCAAATATAGCAGCTGAACTTGAATGTTTCCCCAAGTCATAAATGTGTGTTTTCGAATGTCCTATGCTCTCACTTTTTTCTGAGTAAACACAAATTATTTTTATGTCTTAACTTTACATTGGAATTCGTTTGAATGTCAAGTAAGATATAAATTTATTCTATGGACAAGCAGCATTTTTTCAATTTTTAAACAATGCTTTTATATGAATGCAAAAAAATAAAAATAACTGTTCTTGGGACCACCAACCTAGTGGCATAGGACAGTCAGCTTTATTTCAGAACGCCAAGACATAATGAAGACATGACTGAAGATACTCAAGGACAAAATCTGGACATACTCAAGCCATCAGTCTCTCAGGTTCTCTAAAAATTCTAGCACAATAAACCTTTTTCACTGTGTGTATGTGAAACAGTTTGATTCAGATTTGCTTATGACAGTTGTATTCCTTCATTGTGGTTTTGATTCGATCTGTAAATGGCTTTGCCTGATGCCATATGAAAGATCCTTCTTCTAAACTTACCACCAATTCTGAAACAGGTTTTTGAGAAAAGCTTTTAGATCAGTGATGGCCCAATGGCCACCCATGGCCGTAATAGCACAATAAACATGTTTTGTTTGGCTCATATAGTGTTTATGAAAGATTTTGAGGGCTGGCCCTGTGGCCTAGTGGTTAAGTTCGGTGCATTTGGCTTCAGTGGCCCAGGTTCAGTTCCACGGAGCAGACCTACACCACTCAGCCACACTGTCGCAGTGACCTACATACAAATAGAGGAAGACTGGCACAGATGTTAGCTCAGGGGGGCAAATCTTTGTCAAGCAAAAAGAGGAAGATTGCCAACAGATGTTAGCTCAGAGCAAATCTTCCTCAGCAAAAAAAAAAAAAAAAAGCTTTTGAATAAGATGTCAATATTTAAAAATTGAGAAATTTAACATAAAATCCAAATTTCTGGATTCTGTTGAAACTTCATTCCCACCTGGCAACAATCAGCTGGAATCAAGCCATGGTGCCCTCCCTCAGATGAAGCAGGAGTTGCTTCTCTCTGCCATATGATTCTCTCACTCATTTACACTCTCGGCCTAACTAAGAAATGCATTCAATTTTGTAACCTCAGCTTTAAATGATCTTTTCTTATTGTGTGTGATGGGAAGTTAACGGGAATTTTAACCCAAAATTACAGATTTTAGAAGACCAAATAAGAGTTCGAGATCAGGTGGCCACAGGAACTAATTTTGCAGTTCAGGAGCTCAACACTAAGCACCTTCAAGGAGTTGGAGATCTTCGAGGAAGAGTAGCCAGGTAAGAAGCAGTGTGTTAACTAACGTTTAGCAGTCAGTTCGTGGCCGTTGAATTCTCATTCCCAAATAAGTTCCATATTGTAGAAAACAAGATACACTCTTCACATTAAGCTAAACTGATGAGATGGTAGTTGAGAAAATGTGCCATAGAGCTTGAAAGCCTCAGACTACCTGTAACATCCAAGGTTTTCATAGAAGTCCCCTTATACAGAATGTCCAGTTCAATCCATAAGTGACGAGAGTCTTGCCTATACACACCTCAACCGTCCAAACGCCAACATCCGTACAAAGACATACCCTCATAACCACATGTAAATTCCCCAGATGTGTCAAATTCTAGTGATTAAAACATTTAAAATATACGAGAATTATAAATTAAAGTCTAACAAAATGGATTTACTGCCAAATGGATAAACTTTTGAATAATGTCTTTTGTACAAGATTTCTAAAACAAAAGAATTAATGGTACACAGTTCAGCAAAGATCTGTAGTTATTGACAATGGCAGGACCACTCTGGTAGACACACCAAAGATGACTTGTGAATGGCTGACCATGGACACTTTTCCGTCTCTACCTCTTGTGCCAGCACCTCTTTCCTCACTCCTGGAATGCCCCTACCTACATCTAGTCGATCCACTCTGGAGTGTTAGCGACCAAATAAGAATTAGGTGATTAACACCTATGACAAACCTCCCCATTCAATTCAACAAAAATGTGCTAAGCACTTACCATACGCCAGGCCATGTACTAGGATTCAGGGATTCAGCAACACGGCCCTCTTCCTATAGCCATTAAGTCTCCCTGGGAAACCAAGCCCCAAATATAAGCAATGAGGTGAACACTATAATGAAGGCCTGGGGTACTACGGGAATATCCAAATCAGATTGAGGCACAGGGAAGGCTTCCTAAAGGAGGTCACAATTGAGATGAGTTTCGTTTTGTCTTGTTTGTGAGGAAGATTGGCCCTAAGCTAACAGCTGTTGCCAATCTTCCTCTTTTTTTTCTTTTGCTTGAGGAAGATTGTCGCTGAGCTAACATCTCTGCCAACCTTCCTCTATTTTATGTGGGATGCCGCCACAGAGTGGTTTGATGAGTGGTGCACCTGGGATCCAAACCTGCAAACCCTGCGCTGCCGAAGTGGAGTGCACAAACTTAACCACTATGCCACTGGGCTGGCCCCTGAGATGAGTTTTGAAAGATCTGTAGCAATTAGCTAGACAAGGAAGGGTAGGAAAGACACGTCACATAGGAAGAAGAATATGCACAAAAGAACTGAGGGATTAATTATCATGACATTTTCAAGGGCCTATGTGCAAGGAGAGTATTTTAGTTATGGTATTTGGGGATTTGCATTTAGGGAGAGATGGGAGATTGGGAGAGGAAGCCAGAGAAGTGGTCTGGAGTTGGATGATGAGGAATCTTGTGGGCCAAGGTAAAGAGTTTGAACTTTCTGTAGAAGGTTATAAATAGCCATGGGAAGATTTTAAATAATGGATGACATATATTTAGTGAGATTCTAGTAGTAGCTGAATTAGTGGGCTACAAAAAGAAGGCATGGAGATGGAAGGAAGCCTATTGCAGCAATCTAGGGCAGAAATGTCAAGAGCCTAAACTGAAACAGTAGGCATGAAAGTGGAGAACAGGTAACAGACAACACAGACATTAGGAAAACAGGATCCACAGGATTAGTACCTGTGTGTGTGTGTGTGTGTGTATATATATATACAGTGAGTATATAATGTATATATTGTATATATAATGTATATATAGTGTATATATATACATACATACACATACATACATATATTATTTATATTATGTATAAATATTTTTATACTTCTGAAATATATACTTTATTATATAACATTTGATACATACAAAAGAATTTCTATAATATTTGGGTAAGTTATGAAGCAAGATAATAAATCAAACACCAACAAACCCCCCACCCTACTTAGATGTGCCATGATTTTGCAAAGAAAAACACCAAACATCTATTTTTAATGAAACTTGGAATTTGGTTCAATTTGGTGGTGTACTGATGACACTTCAACGATTTATTTTTTTCTGCAAACTTTTTACAAACCTATTATTTTATTCTTGTAAATTCTGTCTTACATACAAGGCAAAATAACAGATTTAAATGAAACCAAGCAATGAATGGAATAATATCAAGGAAAGAAATGCAACTTTCTTTGTTCTGCTCTAATTTCTTTTTGTTTGTTTCCTTTTTTAAGAATAAAAATTGTATATATTTAAGGTGTACAACATGATGATTTAATACATATACAAGTAATAAAATGATTACTATAGTCAAACTCATTGATATATCTTCTCACATAGTTACCATTTTTTGTGTGTGATGAGAACACCTGAAATCTCCTCTCTTAACATATTTCCATTCTTCAATACAGTGTTATTAACTATAGTCATTATGCTGTACATTAGGTGTCTAGAGTTATTCATCCTACATAATTGCAACTTTGTCCCATTTGACCAACATCTCCCCATTTCCCCCACTTCCTCACCCCTGGTACCCACTGTTCTATTCTCTGTTTTATGTATTCAACTTTTTTAGGTTCCACACATGAGTGAGATCATGCACTTTTTTCCTTTCTGTGTCTAGCTTATTTCATTTAGCATAATATCCTTCAGATTCATCCATGTTGTCATAAATGGCAATATCTCCTTTTTTGAGGCTGAATATTTCATCGTTCATTGTGTGTGTGAGTGTGTGTATGTGTATCACAATTTCTTTATCTATTCATCCATCGACGGACACATAGGTTTTTTCCATATCGTGGCTATTGTGAATAGGCAATGAACGTGGGAGTATAGATATTTCTTTCAGGTACTGGTTTCATTTCCTTTGGGTGTATATCCAGAAGAGGGATTTCTGGGTGATACGGTAGTTCTATTTTTAGTTTTTTGAGGAACCTCCATACTATTTTCTATAACGGCTGCACCAATTTACATTCCTGCCAAGAGGGTGCAAGGGTTCCCTCTTCTCACATACTTGCCAACACTTGTTATCTTTTATTTTTTGATAATAGTCATCCTAACAGCTATGAGGTGATATCTCATTGTGGTTTTGATTTGCACTTCCCTGATGATTAGTGATGTTTAGCACTTTTCATGTACCTGTTGGCCATTTGTATGTCATCTTTGGACAAATATCTATTCAGGTCCTTTACCCATTTTTTAATCATATGTCCATTTAAAATCACTTCCTTGTTTTCTGTGGCCCTGGGGGACTCACAGATAAGCCCTGTCGACTCTCAGAGCTAGGTGATTTGGGAGACAGTCTCTCAGTGGCAGCTGTAAAAGTTGGTGTGCTAGATGTGTGGTCTAAGTCCTTCACTCCTCAGGGAGAGGCTGGAGTTTGGGCGTTCCTGCCCCACTGTAAGGTGCCGTGCCAGGAATGGGGCTTATAGCATGAGTGTGCCTGTTTTCCTACCTATTTCACTGTGGATATTTTCCTAGGTGCCCGATGTGTAGGAGTCTCTAAACTAGTGTCCGGATTTTTCTCAAAGGAAATTGATCCATGTGTAGCTGTTTATTTAATGCATCTGAGGGAGGAAGGAAAATCAAGAGCCTTCTATTCCCCCACCTTGTTCTCCAATGCTTACGTCCTTTCCCCTTCAATATTAAGTAGTCATTTTAGGACAAGGTCTTATTTTTCCTTGAAATATCTCCCTTTTATGACAATTTCTTAAATCTATTTGGTAACCTGAGACAGCATTTGGCTAAAAGCCTGAGGCTTAAATTCATCCTTCTCCTTTTTCTTTTCTGTATTTTGCCAGGCAAGTGACTAACGGACAAGCTGAGGCAGATTGCTGTCTTCCCACATATATTGACCTTAATTCCAATTAGCATTACGGGATAAGTGAAATTAAGTTGATTATTTTGACATAATTCCTAGAAAGCATTTTACTGCTTCATAAATCAAACTCAATATTTGATAACGACAATGTCCTTTGAGTTTTACACCTTATTTCCCATCCCAATATAGTGACAATTTAAAAGCAAGTACTTCCAATGAGGTGAGGTTCTCTAAGTTGTGTGGCCTGCTTTTGACACCCTCTCCTCTATTCAATAGATTAGTCTCAAGTGCAAAAAAGAAAAACGTGCAAGCCAAGATGTGGAAGCAACCTAAATGCCCATCAACAGATGATTGGATAAAGAAGATGTGGTATATATATATACAATGGAATACTACTCAGCCGTAAAAAAGAGCAAAATCATCCCATTTGCAACAACATGAATGGAGCTTGAGGGAATTATGTTAAGTGAATTAAGCCAGATAGAGAAGGACAATCTCTGTATGACTCCACTCATATGAGGAATTTAAAAATGTAGACAAAGAGAACAGATTAGTGGCTACCAGGGGAAAGATGTGGTGGGGGGTAGGCACAAAGGGTGAAGGGGTGCACCTACAACACGAATGACAAACAATAACGTACAATTGAAATTTTACAAGATTGTAACCTATCATTAACTCAATAAAAATTTTTAAAAAAAAGAACATTCTAGAGGGCAGAAGCAGCAGGGGGAGATGTGAAAAAAAAAGAAAAGAAAGAAAAGAAAAAGGTGCATATGTAAAGGGAGCCCCCATCCATGGCTATGACTTCCACTCTGTAGCAGTGGCCAGAGGAGGCCAGCCCTCCAGCCCCATTTGGCTACCTGGGACCCCAAGGCAGATCTGCATGTGAAAAAAAATGATAAATTGTGTCAATGTGTGATTAAAAGAAAAAGTCATGCCCTTTGAAGACACAATAATGATATTATGTATACTGTCAACTTTTGAAAAGTTAAGAGTAGGGACTTCTGGTTAAGATAGTGGAATAAAGATGTTTACTCCACTCCTCTCACTTGAGACATCTCAAGCCCTGTTAAAAATACAAGAAAGAAAACAACTCCGTCTTTGATATAAGACGGAAGCTGCCACAACTACTAACCACAAACAGCACACTTATCAAATACAGGGATGTTTGGACTGATAGAGTCCTCCTCAGACCTAAGCATAATTATTTTCTCCACGTCAAGAGTCACAATCCTGAAAGGCATAGGCCAAATAATTTGAATAGAGCAGTATTACCTAGGGGCTTGGCTGGGTCATAGGAGAGATAGAAAACGTCCCTTTGGAGATTCCAGTCAGTGACACAGAACAGCTGAGGAGGTATATAGAGCTGAAGATGCAGTCATGTTATTTGTCATCTAGGGGCTCCCTCCTTACCGAGTCATACCTGAAAGAAGCGCAACAGGCTGAGAAAGAAGAGGAGGTGACAGTATCACAACAAAGAATCTATGTCTTAATGATTTGCTGTGAGAGACACCAATCCGACTTTTGAGGAGAAAATGGGGCCTAAGGAAATAATAGATTTGATAAGACAAGGCCGAGCAGAGGAGGTGATCTAGTCCCCAGCAAGCACACGCTCACTGCTCTTCTGCTGGTAGCCAGAATCATTCAGAGATGTGACTTGTGGTAGTCAGGAAGAATCTAGACTGTGCACAAACATCCCTCCACCACCAGCCCCAGATAGACGGCACATAGACAGATAGATAGATAAAAACCTAAGGCTGATGAGCAGATCTCATGAGAGGGATAACCCAGAAAAAGTTCAAACCAAAGTTTCTCCTGGTTTGAAAGAAATTAAGAGCAAAAGAAAGACATAAAAGAAGACTGCTGATTGAACGGTCATGTGTAATTTTGCTCCTTCCAAAGCCCCCACTATCTACAGTAAAAAGATTTTTCTCTTTAAAACATAAATCCACAAAGACAGGTGATATCAGCACTAAAAATCTTGGAACCTAGAAAATAGATGGACATGTAGAAACTGACGTAGAAGACGTAATAAGACCAGTTTGAAAGCTGTGGGATAGGCTGAGAATAACCTGATTTTACACCACAGAATTCTCAGAAGGTTAGGAGTTGGCTGCACCAGGAAGCTCTGAAACCGAGGGTAAAGGTGGGCACTAGCCTGTAGGGAGAGAAACCCAGAGACGCAGGAAGAGGCAGAGCAAGGAACCGCATAGTTTGTTATTGGCCGTTCAGTTTTTATTGACTTTTAAACTACAAGCATGTTTTACTTTGATAAAAATAAGAGATAAAATGGTTTCCCCCCCAAAAATGATTATCAGATAACAAAAGGAGATAGATAAACTGGAATTGCTCAGGGATAAGGTGAAAGAAAAAATTAAGATATTACAGAGATTAAATCTACTTTAGAAACCCCCCAAGTGGATAAATAAAACAAAAAATGTTATTTCTTTTAAAAAAAGCATGAGGAAACCATACAAAACAAAAAGAAAATGCTTTTCGTTATAAAAATGGTTACAGAGAAATGAAGTATATGTCAGACAAGTAAAACTCATTTAACATAGACCTAATAGGAGCTCCTGAAGAAGAAATAGAGCAAATTCTTCAGGAAAAAAAAATATTCATGGATATAGGAGACAAAAGCTTTCTTGAAACAGAGATTTGAATTTGCAGATTGAAAGGGAAAGCTGTGACCCCAGAAAAATTGATATAAGGACAATTAAACCCAGATATCCTGAACATCATGGATACTGAAGTTGCTGAACATCAAGGATAAAGAATCATTAGAAGAAAAAAAAGAATCATTAAACATCTAGGTAAACAAAACAGACCACATAAGAGAAGGAAAAACTGTAGTCCCCTCAGACTTCTCCACCTCACACAGACCCAGAAAAGAGCGGAGCAATGGCGGTCATGTTTGAACAAAAGAAAAGTGACCCAATAACATTATCTTAACCAAATTACCTTCAAGTATAAGAGAACAGATAGGCATTCGCAAGCACCAGGAACTGAACGATTCCAATGCGTCATGAGCCCTTCTTTTGAAATTTGGGTAATAAAATCTGGCCGACCAAGGAATAGATCAAAATAAGGATCTCAGAAAAGAAATCATAGTTTAAAGGGACTGTCAGTGAACATGGAATCTAAATATAGAATGAAGATTAAATAACAGTGGGAAACCTAGTTACAGAACACACTGTAAATGTCATGAAATGTGACATTTTAAAAATAGCAAAATATTAACAAAAACGGTTGAAAGAGCAAGTATATAAACTTATTTATTTCCTCACTTTTTCATATGGTCAATAGATGATGTCTAAAGTTGAAATGGTAGTTGTAAAAAGCATAATGATTCCAATCTATGACAGCTTTTTATAGCTTCTTTTTTTAGAAACAAATACCTCTTGTAGTGAAGAAATATATATATATCTGAAGCTCGGTAATTTCATTTCTCACTACAATTACTTTTGCTTAGATTAAATTAAATTAAAATTCAATGTAATATTTTGAACTAAAATTGGCATATATAATATAATCCAAATATTCTAAAATTATTTTATTACATTTCTTTCTTCCTTTCTCTGTGTGTATATATAAATACAAACACATTATATATCTATATGTGTATATATGTATAGTATGTATATATAGTATAATGATGAATGGAATAATAACCAAATATTAACAATGATTATTTGTGAAAAATGGGATTTGGGATGATGTAAACTCTCCTCTATGTTCTTGTTTGTATTATATGTAATTTTTTTATAATGCATGTATTATTTTGACAGAAACAATAATTCAAAAGAAGAAGAGGAAGAGAAACTTCCTCTTGAAATATAGTGTGCAGCTTTGAAAAACCACTAATGCTTGACTTCAGCATGTGGGTTTAGGCAGGTTGGGTGCGGGGAAGGGGAGCAGTGAAAATGAATAGGTGGCAACTCTCAGGTTGAGTAAATAAATAAGAGCTGCTGATCTCGTGTGGGTGCTTCCTCTGCGCCAGGTACTAGCTAAATGCTTTGCATTCATTGCCTCCTTGCATCCTTAAATAACCCTAAGAAGTAACATTATTCAGGATGGCCACTTCCAGTTTTGACAGTTGAGCACACAGCACACCAGGAGACACCATTCACACTTTTGCCTGTGTGTCTGGCACCCCCTGGAGTTGTGTGGTGGTGAAATTGTGCAGCTATATGCAGTGACCTCAGCATCATTACTCCCTTTTCTCAGATAAGGAAAACTGAAACTCAGAGATGTTAATAAACTTGTCCCAGGTCACAAACCTAGGAAATAGCAGAAGCCGATTCAAAGCCTGGTCTATCTGACACCAGAACCAGATTCTTAACCACTAGCCCACAATGGATAGACCAGCTGTCCCTGAGGGTGGGAACAAGATGGTGGTTGGGTGAGAGGTGGCAGGGAGTGGTGGTAGCTGCAACTACTCCTGCGTAGTCTTTGGGGGTCTTAACGTGGACTCACCTAAGAATATTCTAATGGACCCACAATAGAGGCTGTTCTGACAATAACAATTTATGTATACAAATGTGTGAAACAGCTTTTGCCCTTGACTTTGGTGCATACCATCCAGCTCCCATTTTTGGATTAATTCCTAATTCTCCTCCCAGCAGTCTCCCCAACCCTACCCCAGTCACCTGATATCCCTTCAGGGGATTTCTCAGGCAAAATTACCACCTTAACTCACCGTTGGCTCAATTTTGGCATCCAAAATCTTAAGAAAAAGAAATTCACTTCTGGATCCTAAAAAATGTTGATAGTCATAAAACAAATAATATTTATAACACTTAGCATAACAACATGAAAAATGTGGTTCCTAACAAATACTATTTGATGACAGTCAAAACAGTTATTTTATAAAATGACCAACTTCAATGTGATCTCTGATAACTGATAAACAAAAGACACAGCCCTTTGGTGCTCTCTGTCCTGTCTTTCATTCATACATGAGTATATTGAAACTGATCATTAATACAGTATGTAACCTGCTCTCTCCCAAGAGAGGCCATGAGTGGTGGTAGTTGGGTAGTGGAGCGGGGTTCCCTGCCCTGCTGTGAAGATGGTTAATCTTCAACTCCAACCCCATTACACTAGAGTTCTTTCCTTAAAGTACTAAATGCAACCTTATGGGCCAAAGCTCCATTCACATGTTAGCGTTAATTGTTTTGTCCTAATATAATGCACCGAGACTGAGACCACTCAAGGAGCAGGAGTTTTGATTGGCACTAAGAGAAGGGAAATTGTTTTTTAAAGATGAGTTGGAAGACTTTTGTGGACTGGGACACTTTTTCTAGCCAGAGGAGAATGGACAATCTGGGAGCCAAGAAAGAGATTTAAGGGAGGAAAGTGGATTCAGAGCACAATATAGAGGGGAAAAAGTTTCCATTTTGCCTATCCAAAGGTAGCAGGGAGTATTCCCAATACATCAAAAATCTGTTAGAATTGCTATAACTGAGTTAATCTATCAGACTGAAAATCTAAAATTTTCCCCAATTTCTCCCAATGTCTTCATCTACGCCAACTCAGTGCTTTGATTTGGGCCAATGTATCATTATCCAACCAGGTTTCTCTACCATCAGGAAAAGAACAGGAAAATGAAGGAGATGCCTGTATGTACTCCTACATCTACCAACTCATTGTGCAAAGAACTTTTGCCATCAAATGAATGCACAGATCCTACTGTAGTATTAAAAATGTTTTGAGCCTATTGATCTCACAACTAATTTCCATCTTGCCACTAGATGTGATTCCAGCATTGTGAAGCTTTCTGCAGACATTCACTTCATCAGGCATGAGCACCGGCAAATTGAGAAAAGAATTCAAGAGCTCGTGTCTGCCCTGGAAACTATTTCTAAGAACTTGGATGTGAAGGTAATTGAAAATAGATGGGACTCTTATATTAGGTGTTACTGCCAGAATAAGATCATTATAGCTCATCAACATGCCTAGTCAAGTGGTAATTGTTCAAAAGAACTCTTCCAAAGGGTTTAAATATGACAGCTCATGCATATACACCACAAAAGATGTCAGTTCGATCAACAAAGTTTTAATGAGTGCCTCATGTGTTCCAACACAGCCTCTCATTGTAAGCGTGTGCTACTTGATTCCACTGTTCTTACTATTCCCTTACTCTCTGGGTTCCCCTAGCAGACTGCAGAACCAGAGATTATAAGCAAAGGGACCTCCCCTGCAAGCTATTATTATTAATAAATGTGAGCTGATCATGTTACGTCCCTGCAATGGGTTATGTCTCTTACAAAATAATCAACAAGTCCATTGGCCTGGACTTTAAAGGCCATCTCTACATTGGCACCTACTATCTCTTCAGCTCACTGCCCTGTGCTTCCTGGCTCACCCTTTATACCCAGTGATAACAAATTACCTGCAGCTAGGTCCCCACTCACTCCAAGATATTGCTTGGCCTCCATGTCGTTTGTGCTCTTTTCTGCCTGAAATGTCTCTCCTCTCTTTTCCCAGTTCATGGTTTAACTAAAGGAGCCAATGCAAAGTCTTCCATGCCCCACTCTGTCACATACCTTATGTGAGACCAGCACATCTCCTCTAAAGTCATTGGAGCAGAACAAAGTGGAAATTCTTTGGGAATTGGGGGAGATGAAAGTCTGGGGTTTATGTGTGCATGAGAGCCTATTTACCAAGAGCAGAAGGTTCACGGGGCACACAGCTTACCCCAGTCCCATTGGGCTCCCCTTGGCTTTATTTTTACATTTAAATTCTTGATCCATTTGGAGTTTTTCCTAATATAGAATGTATCTAATTATTATTTTAATCACTGAAGCCTTACAGTATTTTTTAATATCTGGTACAGCTAGTCCCTTCCATTGCTTTCTCTTTTTCCTTTTCCTAATGATAACTGTTTTTGCGTATGATTTTAAAATCAGCCTATCTAGTGCCAGAAAATAAATCAACAAATAAACTTCTAATTTTTATTGAAATCACATTAAATTTATAAGCTAACTTTAGAATTGACATAGTTGTAATGCAAATCGTTTATCCCTGAATATAGCGTGCCTCCTATTTGTTAAGTTTGCTTTTATATTGTTCAGGAGTGGTTTCAAATTCTCCTTATGTAGGCATCATCTTAAATGTATTTTGAGATTTTGTTATCTTTTTTCTTTTTAGTTTATTGTAATGGGGTTTCATTATATCTTCTGGCTAGTTGTTAATGAATATTATGAAGGCTGTATTAATTTTATACTCCACTAACAATGAATTCTCTTCGTGATTATAGTAACTTTTTAGTTGATTTTTTTTGTTATTTTTTCCAGGCACACAATCATATTATTTTTAAATAATAATAATTTTACCTCACTGCTTACCATTTTCATACACATAATTTCTCTCCCTTTTCTAATTGCTTTAATAACTCCAGCATGATATTAAATAGCAGTGCAAGGATAGTGAGCATCCTGCTCTTGTTCCTGACTTTAACAGAAATGCCCCCAGTGTTTCCCTTGTGATGGGGGAAGTAAGTTTCCTCAGTAAACATGTTTAATACACAACTAGGCCTATTTTATTGATGGTTTTTTTTTTTTAATCAAGAATGATTGTGAATTTTGTCAAATATCTTTTCAGCATTTGTGGAGATAATCATGTGAGTTTTCTCCTAAGCTATACTAGCATAATTATTTGTATTAATATGTTTCCTATTATTAAACCATTCTTACTTTTTTAAAAAATAAGTTGCACTTGAATGTGATGTGCTTTTTTTATTGTGCTGCTGGATACTGCTGATATTTTATTTAAGAATTTGGCACCAATGTTTATAAACAAGATTAGTCTTCTTTTGTGCAATCTTTTTCACATTTTGGTCTCAATATGCGCTGACTTCTTAAAAATAATTTGGAAGTTTCTCTTCTTTTTCTATGCTCTGAAATGGTTTAAATGACATTACAATTATCTATTCTTTAAGGATTTGGGAGTTTTACCTCTGAAACCATCTGGGCCTATGATTTGGTGGGAAAGGAAGTCCTTTGATATCTTTGCTCAATTTTCTCTGTGGAAATTGGGCTGTCTAAACGTTCTATCTTTTCAAGGGGCAGCTTTAGTAAATTACTTTTTCTTGAAAAAATACCTATTTCATCTAGATTTTGAAATTTACTTGCATAAAATTATGCAAAATATTTTTAGGATTATTTTAATTTCCTCTGCTTTTGTTGTTTTTTCCCCTTGCCATTTTATCATTTTATTTCTGCTTTTCTTTTTTCTCCTTGATTAGTTAGGTTGGTTGTGTCTTACCAATTACATTGATTATTCTCCAATGATCCAGTCTTTTCAAGTATTTTTAAGATTTTTTTTTTTCCTTCTTCTCCCCAAAGCCCCCGGGTATATATTTGTGTATCCCTAGTTGTGGGTCCCTCCAGTTGTGGCATGCAGGACGCCGCCCCAGCATGGCTTGATGAGCGGTGCCATGTCCACACCCAGGATTCGAACCGGTGAAACCCTGGGCCGCTGAAGTGGAGCAAGTGAACCCAACCACTCGGCCACCAGGCTGACCCCTCAAGTATTTTCAAATTCTGCTTCCACTCTATTTTCCAAATCACAAATTTAAGCTTTTGTCTTTGTTTTTTTCCTTTCCTGCAGTTTCTTTTGCTGTTCATTTTCTAACTTTTTGAAACATATACATTCATTCTCTTTTTACTGATATAAGAATTTATGACTGTGAATTTTCCCTGAACATTCATTTATCCCTGTATCCCCTGGGGTTTGATATGTAGTATTCTCGTTGTTTCCTAGAAGTTCTGCAACTGCATACTGTATTTTTCTTTTGATTGAAATAGCAGTTGTTGTTGGTTTTTCCCCCTGAGTTAAGGAGTTTTTGTTTTGTTATCCTGGTATTCATTTTTAGTTTTATCTCATTATAATCAAAATTTGTTGTGTATACCAGTTTTAGGTTTTTGGAACATTTTCAGGCGGTTTTTTGGTGGCCAGAGAGTAAAATTTTGTACATGTTCTAAAAGAATGTGCATTCTGTATTTTTAGGGTACAAAGTTCAGTTGATCTATAAAAACGTAGTTTATGGGTTAGGTCTTATGTATTCTTACTTATTTTTTCATTTAATTCTTCTGTCTTGAATTGAGAGAAATGAATTAAAGTCTTGCATAATTATTGGGCTTCCATTTCATCTTTAATTTCAGCTTTGTGAATGTTTTTGCTATGTTATTTGGATCACAGATATTTATAACTACTCTCTTTTCTGATTCCTAATTTTAATATTTATGTTTTCTCTCAAATTTTGTCTGTTACTTTTTCAGAGAAACAGCCCTTGGAATTACATGTCAATCCTATAATTTTTTCCTGTTTCTTATTAATTATTTTAACATTTGTATATTAGTTTTCTATCACTGCCATTACAGATTATCACAGCAGTGGTTTATAACAACACAAATGTATTATCTCACAGTTTCTGTAGGTCAAAAGTCTGGCTGGCTAGACTTGATCCTCTGCTTAGGGTCCCACAAGGCAGAAATCAAGGTGTCAGCAGGGCTGCGTTCCTTTGGAGAGGCTCTGGGGATGAATCCTCTTCCAGGCTCATTCAAGTTTTTGGCCAAAGTCAGTTTCTTGAGGTTGTAGGACTGAGGTCTCTGCTGGCTGTCAACTGGGGACTGATATTCCTCCAGCTGTTCGCCTTCCTTCTGATGTTTCCCATTGACCTCTCTCCAGCAATAGAAGGTAAAGTCGGTCTCACGCTTCCTATCTCTCTGACTCCATCTTCTGCTGCCTCTCTCTGACTTCGGCTGGAGAAAGTTCTCTGCTTTTAGGGGCTCATATGATTAGATTGGGACAACTTGGATAAGACAGATAATCTCCTATTACAATGTCTGTAACCTTAGTACAGCTGCAAATCTCTTTGGCTATCTAACACAACATGTTTAGAGGTTCCAGGGATTAGGGCACAGACATCTTTGTGGATCCATTCTGCCTACCACAATTTATCAGTTTCTTCATCCTGCTTTCCTTTGGTTAGGTTTGTCATTCTCTTTTTAACTTTGTGAAACGAATGGTTAGTTTACATAGCTTCATTCTGTCTTGGATAATTATGGAAACATTTAATGCCACAAATTTAGCTCTGATTATAGATATGGCTGTGTCCTTTTGATACGTAATGTTCTCATCATCCTTTCCTAAGTAAATTGTAATTGCAGAGTTGATTTATTCTTTGACACTTGTGTTAGTCTTTTGAGAAGCAAATACCATAAAGGAGTTAGATTTGCAAGAGATTTATTGAGGGAAAAAACTGAAGGAAAATAGGGAGGAAGCTGGAGGAGATGGAGAGCCATCAAACTGCAATATAGATCTGACTTCTGTGAAAAAGACTGGGAAGAAAGGTGTTAGATGGCCATTCTAACAAAATTTCATCAAGTTCCTTGAGCCAAAGTCATTCATCAAAGGACTGCTCCCCAGACATTGCTTAGAAGCAGCCAGCCAGTGGGAAGTATGGCCTTGACACATGGTGATGGGTTTTACACTCAGCAATCAAGGCCCTTGGCCAATTATGCTCCTCATAGTGGGAGATCTGAGAGGAACATTTTCATGTGAAACACTGGAATTAAACAATAGAAGTAAAAGAGTATAGGTTTTTTAACTCAAATAGTTAGATTTTTGTTTCTTTATACTTTTCTTATTGGTTTCTAGTTTTAGTGCAGTATAGTTAGAATTATGGTATGCTTTTCCTGCTTTTTAGAATAATTTGAGAGTTTCTTTATAGTCACACGTGTGCTTAGTTGCAAATGCTCAGTGGATACTGGGAAAGAATGAGTGTTTGCTGTTTTCAAGTTAGATCATTTGGTGTGTAAATCTATTAGATAAACAATAGTTTTCCTATCTTCCTATATCCTTATTTATATTTTACTTATTTGACAAGTAAAGAGTCAAGAGAAGTTATTTAAAATCACTAATACATCATCTCTGTTAGTTTATCCTTGTAATTTTATAGCTGTTGCTTTTTAGTTCAATACGTAAAGTAAAGGTTCAAAACTCTTTAGTATTTTTCACCATGAATTCTACTCTTCGTCTAGAAAATGACCATCTTTGTCCCATTTAATGTAGTTTGCCTTGAATAACATTTTATCTAACACTATTGCTTTACCTGCTTTCTTTTCCTTTGCTTTTGCCAGGCATACATTTACCCATTATTTCGTTGCTAACAATTCTGCCTTTAAGTGCACCTCCTAAAAATAGCCTGTTTTAAGTGTATCTCCTATAAATAATCATTCATGTGCTATTGGTTGCTCACCCAACATTTATCTATTCAAACCCTTCCATTATTCACCTTTTTCTTTTCTAAGAGAACTCAGATTTTAAGTGTCTACTCTTCTCCACATAACCATCTGTTTCAGGAATTGAATTCTGTTTGGCCAAAGCCAATCATGTAGTTTGACTCCCCTTGGCAGTGATTAGTTTAGTCATCTTTATGCGCTGCAATTCTGCAACTATTTTCCAATCCAGTCCTTTCACCTAAAGGAACTTCCTGAACATTTCTGGCAACGTGGAAGGCACCCTTATTCTAACTTCCAGAACTGGAACTTGGTTCTTCCTATCTTAAATGCCCCAAGTCATTTCACTTGGGATTCATTTCTGCTCACGTCAGAATCCTACCGGGAAATTCCTTAGACCTAATCTTAGGCCACTCTTGTGTGTTTTCCTCAGAGCCTAATTGTGCATTGAAACATTTATTCAGTAAGTATTTGGTGACCATTTACTGTTGGTCACCTAATGTGCACTGAGGGTACAGTGGTGATAGAAGATATAGTGGCCTACACTGTAACTGGGTAACTGGGGAGATAGAAAGTAAAGAAATAATCAGATTAACAAATTGATAAACTAATAACAATGAATTGTTATATCTTTAGGTAGTCTATTACCATAAAGAGCATTATAGACAGCAGAATGGAACACTTCCCTATTATTCTTTCCCTGAAGAGAGTTCTATCACTGTTGAATCATTCCTTTGAAAACAACCATTTTTAAACACAAATGCACCCTAGGCTCCAGTGTGTTTGTTTCCTGGCCCCTTTAGGAAAAAAGTATAATTAACGTAAGTGCTCGTGGTCTTGTTCACACGCACAAATAGCTCCCTTTTCCACTTTCATTAGGTAATGCAGCTCTTAGGAAGGCTAGAGACTTCCAGTTCTGAGCAAATCTCAAATTTCAAGATGCTTCAGGGGGATTATCGCCACGAAATGAACATTTTGGAGTTCAAGTAAGTGAATGGAAGATTTTGACTTCTGTTAAATGTATTCCAAAGGGTTTTGCCTAATGAAAGCGTTGGCATTAAATAAAAACCTATCCCAGCAATTTGAACCTGGCCAAGAAATAAAGCAACGAACTAAGGAAGAAAACAGTCTGCACTAAATAACTTATACAATATTCACAATAAAATAAGAAATATGCTACTAATTTTGTCATTCTCTTTGTCTGCATAACATCTGAACTGAATTGATACTTATCCTGACCTTTCCTATAGAGTCATTCTAACTTATCAATTGTATATTAAATTGCCTCAGTGTAACCCCTTATGGAATATATTGATTCCACAAAATTATCAATTTTTAAAACAACTTTGATTTGCAAACTTTTCTTTTAAGATTTCTTCTGAGATCCTCTACTTGCTCCTTTACGTCATCTCTGTTTTAAGACTGGTCTCTATTCCATCGGACACTGAGTTGTCCCCCAGGCAATGGAGAAAGCAGTAAAGGAGACAATGCACAAACATTCAAATTACTGGCCTCCTTGTCCTCAAATCCTCCTTTCTTGTTTACATGACCACCATTTCCTGAGATCGTGGTGCAGGCAAAAGAAAATTCTAGTCACTTGGATGGTATTATCCGCCCCTTCTACCCCTGTTCTTTTTCCTCTGTCCCACATCCCTTGGGTTTAAGGTCTTGGTCAAACCCAGTATTCTGAATATACTCTGCTTTCTCCAATTTTCCCCATCTCTACTGTATTACAATTGATCTAAGTGTCATTGATTATAAGATGCACCATTATGTTTTTGTACCTCTAAGACATGAAGATAACAATTAAAACATAGCACACCATCACTTTAAGACACCACCTGATTTCAGAGATGTTAAATTGGGAAATATGTGTGTCCTAGAAACTGATGAAAAACAAGTCATCATTAAAACTCAGAGAAGTAAATGTCTTGAGTAAACAGAAGAGATCCACTTTCTTCATACCCTAAAAAAACATATCTAGGGCTGGCCCGGTGGTGCAGCGGTTAAGTTTGCACATTCCACTTTGGCAGCCTGGGGTTCACCAGTTCGGATCCCGGGTGCGGAACTACGCACCGCTTGTCAAGTCACGCTGTGGCAGGCGTCCCACATATAAAATAGAGGAAGACGGGCACGGATATTAGCTCAGGGCCAGTCTTCAGCAAAAAGAGGAGGATTGGTGGCAGATGTTAGCTCAGGGCTAATTGTCATAAAAAACAAAGAAGGATATCTAGGTTCTTAAATTCTAGTACAATGAGGATGCTCAGTAAGTACCTGTGTGGTGCTTGATCTAATCGCTTTAGCTTATAATGAAGATAAAGAAAAGAAGTAGAAAAGTAAACTGTTCCTAGAAGTACTGTTTAAAAATTGATTTTATTGGGGGAGAAGTGGAACTTATAATCTGAAATGGAAGATTGGTTTAAAGGGATGCAGGATATTAACAAAAACGAGGGGAAAAGGAAATATTTGAGATCTAGGGCAACTGCTTTATTGATGATGCTGAATCATTGTTCACCTTTCAATCTTGTGGGAAATTGGCTTATAGATGAATCACCTAAAGAGTTTAAACCTGAATCTGGACACTTTTGTAATAGTATAAACTTGAATCTTTTTCTCACTTGAAATAATGAAGTCTTCAAATTTCATTAGTATTACAGTAGGTAACATTGAATTTATAAGCCAGATTTTTCCCCAGGCAAATACTTATGAGCTCTAATAATTCATTTAATTACACAATTGACTGTTTTTTATTTAAATCTTCTCCATGGACTCTTTTAAATTAAAAAGTAATATGCATTCATTGTAAAAAACAAAATAAAACAAAGATGAAAAAAGATGTCACCACCTCAGCTTCCTAATGTAACCAATGCTAACACCAGGGGTGTATCCTTCTACACTTTCCTCCCTATTAATATAAGCATAAAACAGAAAAAGGACACTGTATGTATGTGTGTATGTGTGTGTATATACATGTATATTCTTACATGGAAAATCATGTCTATTATGTCAGGAAAAAGTCTAAGGAAAGAAAAAAACATACAAACATTCGTTTATCCTTTTTATATTTCAAGGAGAATGCTTTTTAAAAAATGCTTTCATATTTTAATAAACTACCAACAGACAGAGTCTGACTTCTGATTGTTACCAGGAAAGTGAGTCTCCAATTGCAGGCAAAACCTTGTAATAAAAGGATCATAAGTAGTAATTAATTCTTTATCGTTTTATTTTAGTTTCAGAATTTCAATTACCCACGTGCCCTTCCAGAGATGTTACTTGGGCACATTTAGTGGTCCTTGGTTTTCAGAGGGATGTTAATATTGTATCAGTGAAGAGAGTAAATGCTCTCCTTTATTTACACAGTAAAGGTGAGCACTGAAGGCTAGACTCTCACGTGTAAAGCTACGATTGATTATCTAGGAATGTGCTGTCCCCCTTAACCATTACTATTAATTAATATTTCCACCAGAGACAGGGAAGGGAAGATGAAAATTGAAGATTAGGTCTCTAAATAACTTGACGAGTCTATGATTTGCTATTTGTAAACAGCCCTAACAAAAGCATTGTATGAGAAAGAATGCATCATTTATTCAACAGCTATTCAATGGGCAGTTTCTATTTTCCAAGCATTGCTTACAGCCATGCACAAAGCAGAACCCTTGTTTCACAGAACTTAGGTTCTCGTGGAGGAGCACACCAATTAGCATCTAGTGCATGCTGATGAGCATTTTGGAGAAAAAGTAGAGTAACGGACTAGAGAGTCAGCTGGGGAGAGGGATTTTTTTGTTTGTTTTTTGGTGTGGCAAAAAAAAACCCCAAAAAACTTCCGCGATAAAATAGTGCTTGAATATAAATTTGAATGAAATGAGGGCAGGAGTACTCCAGACATAGGAAACAGTTGGCTAAAATGAGGTTGTCCATGTATGAGTTGGAAACTTATTTGTCTGAGATCCAACAGCTGTTAGCCAGTAGCACAGGTGTTTGGAAATCACGATTAGACCAAGAACAGGAAGAGGGATCAACTTCATCTTCTTCACAGTTGAGGTACTCACTTGAAGCAAGGTATGCCTTCTGAGTGGAAAATAACTCTATGTCAAACCAATGTGATAATTCAGAGAGATGAAGATTAGAATTTAGCTATTATACTATAACTAATCTAACTATTAGAAAATTAACTTTTCCCAGTCCTTGATTTCATCACCTAAATCCGGGCTTCTTAACCTCGGTGCTTTTGATTGGCGTTTTGGCTGGATAATTCTTTGTTGTGGAGCTGTCCTGTGCATTGTGGGAACTTTAGCAGCATCCCCGGCCTCTATCCACTATACGTCAGTAGCACCTCCCAGTTGTGACTACCAAAAATGTCTCCATACATTGCTAAATAATCCTTGATCTAAATAAAAATGAAAATGGCCTCACATAACTTGTCTTTTCCAATTCTTCATCCAAACACTTTTTCAGGAGAGCTAGAGAGGCATGCAGTATATATCTAGCATGTCTTAAGCAATTTCCAATAATAAAAATCACAAACTAAATTATCTGCATATAATTTTTACTGAAAACACTAAAGCAACTATTATTTCAAGCCACCCACATGTTGCAAGGTAGTCTGAATATTCTCAATAACAAACAACATGCATTGTTCCTGCTAATCTAATATTTTGCCTATTCTAAAAGAGAATTTAAGGGGCTGGCCCCATGGCCGAATGGTTAAGTTCATACACTTCGCTTTGGTGGCTGAGGGTTTTGCTGGTTCTGATCCTGGGCGCAGACCTAGCATGGCTCATCAAGCCATGCTGAGGTGAAGTCCCACATAGCAGAACCAGAAGGACCTAAAACTAGAATATACAACTATGTACTGGTGGGCTTTAGGGAGAAGAAAAAAAAAAAAGATTGGCAGCAGATATTAGCTCAGGGCCAATCTTGAAGAAAATAAATAAATAAAAGAGAATTTGAAATTAACATTTTACCATGAGCAAGTCACACATAGAAAATATATACATATACCCCTTGCTGGTCCCCAAAGCTCATCCCACTTCTTCTCAGTCCCATATTTCTCAGTCACTACAGATGTGGATTCCCTGTTCTGCTCAAACCCTCAGCCACTCTGCAGTGACTCTTCAAATTGATGATATATAATTCCAACACTTTTAATCTCTGTAATAACATCCCCTTCCATTTTTAAAAATCTTTCATTCTCTATTTCATACTCCTATGATGCATCATCTTGATGCCAGTAGTCCCTTCCTGCACCTTTGCCTATTATTTCTGTTTTTGCCCCACATGAGTAACCCAACACCTCTTTAAGCCCTCCCCCCACCCAACCTCCCAAAGAAACCACTCAGAGACCCACTGGTGGCTATGGAGACTTTATTGAAGATTTCGCCTCAGACAGAAAAGACAACCACTGCTATCCCAAAGTCCTTATGGGGCCCTCTTCCTTCTCCCTTTCCCCCTTCCTACCCCAGCCTTTTCTCTCCTCCCCTAGATGACGCAAGTCCTCTCTGCCTCTCTGGTCCAGCTCCTCCCTCAGCCTCATAGTGGCCCTTGTAGAGCAGGTGTTCTGCAAACTACCCCTCTTAGCCAAATCTGCCCACAGCTAAGAAGGTTTTTCACACTTTCTAATAAATTTTTTAATAAAAAATTATATTTCACAATATGTGAATATTATATGAAATGAAAATTTCAGTGGATATAAAGTTAGATTAGGCCACAACCATGCTCATCTGTTTATTATTTGTTTGTAAATAAGCCATGCTTATTTGCTTATTTGTATCACCTACGGTTGCTTTCCCACTGCAATGGCAGTGTTGAGTCGTTGCACAGCTGAGTGGTTGCAACAGAGACCATATGGCTCACAAAGCCTGAAATATTTACTATCTGACCCTTTACATAAAAAGTTTCCCAAACCCCCACTACAGAATAACACTCCCACCCCAAGTGACTTACCAAACTATTTCTTCCCCACACATGCAATGTGCCCTGGGCCCTGAGAGGAAGTCGGCATGGATGACACATGCATTCTGTGTGGCTGTGTCCCTGTTGCTGTGTGTATGTATTTTCAGGTATGTGGAGGGGTGTTGTCAGCAGCTGGGCTGAACACGAGCTCAGGGCAGGGACTCAGAGTGTGCTCCCCTGCCCCACCTCCCACACCAACACTTAAGTACTTGCTAGACACACAGCCTCATCCTCTGAAAAAATGGCAGACTTTTTAATACTAAATTTTGGGTGTATGTTTAAATTTACCTATTAAAATAGAACAAACTACTTTTTCCCTTAGATTTAATTCACTTTCAAATAATCTGTGTGAGGAAGTTGAGAACAAGAAAAAATGGACAGAAAACCAGTTCATCAAATATCAACAAGACCTCCTGGGCCATATCAATCAGTGTCTGAAGCTACTCCAGGAGAAACTGGTAAGGAGTTCTGTTATTCATGAAGTAAGCAGCCGCCGGGTTATTCTCTGGATGTTAGCAATGAGTAAAGGTCTTGAAAGTTACATTTCAACATTCACAGCAACCTTCACTGTGTTGGTAACTTACTTTTTTCATCACCAGAATAGGACTCCAGAGGCCTGCCTTCTGGTCCTGTTTGCTACTCCCCAACTCTGTGAACCCACATTTCTGAGTGTGCTCTACCTGTACCAGAATAACTTAAAGAGAATTTTAACAAACACAGATTCCTGGTCCCAACCTGGAGCTGAGACATCAGATCCTCTGGGGGCTTCTAGGCAAGCTCCCCGGTGATGCTTAGACGCAATAAAGCTTGAACACTTCTGCACTACTAGCTCTTTCTCAGATTCTGGCAGACTCCTCCACCAGTTCTAGGCAGCACTAGGCGACCACAGCGTCACCTGCAGGAAGAAGCCTCTCACCACAAGGAAGAGAGAGACTGGAATCCATCATTCCTGGGCAGGCAGGGTTAAAGAGAGAACCAAGTTAGTCTTGCCTATGCCTGTACCAAATTCCCCAGAGGGGATCGAGGAGGAGCAGAGAAGCTAATTAGCCTCAGGCTGCCTCCACAGTCCCCACCCTGCTGCACATTAGAGTCACCTGGAGGGCTTTTAAACTACAATTTCTGAGCTCCACAGACCAATTAAGTCAGAATTTGGGGGAGGGGTGTGAAGGTCCAGGTAATTCTAATAGACAGCATGGGCAGAGAATCGCCGTTCCTGCTGAAGTCAGTCCACATGGAGATAGGAAGCTCAAGGGAATAATGACATCTAACATTTCGGAGGATGTTCAAGGAGCTCCAGTCAAGCAGGATCCAAAACGCCTTCCTTGACTACCCTTCTTTGAACACTAGGCTAAAATGCCAAGTCCTCAAGGGATTTCAGGAAGACTTCAGCCCTCTCTTTTCTCTCATAACACGTAGAATTCCAGAAACTACAAAAAAACAAGACCAAACAAAGGGATGAACTCTTACATTTGTGAACACAGTTTTAGATACAAGGGCAGTTGGTTTGAATTTTCACATTGAACAAGAAAAAGTGAGTTTGTTAAATATGTTCTTTAAGCTGAATTACAAATCCACATAGGTTTTATTTTCTGCAGTGTTTTATCACATGCTATCTTTTCTAGGAAAAGTCTGAAAATAAAATGGAAGAAAAATTACTGCGGCTTTCAAGCAAATTAGAGAATTTCATTAACACACAGAAACAGGAAGCAGAACTAAACAAAGTAAAGCATATAGAAAATAAACTGTCCAAAAAGATGAACCACATGGAAAAGCACATCTGGGGTGAATTAGAGAAAATGCAGAATGAATATCAATCAGGTGAGCAGATACCTTTGATTGACAACATCAGTCCTTTCCTATCCAATCCCTCAGTTTTCTACTTTGAGTTAATGGCCAGGATCAATCTTGTCATTAGTGACCTCCTTTCACATTTAATCTGAGTTTCCTAAATATTCCATAGAATGTCAGCATACTACTGGAAGGTAGGTAAATAAGTTCACTTTCTTCATTCACACTTGGCAGTATCATAAGCTTGCCACTGCTGTGAGATCTTTTGCTAAGATCATAGAATTCTTAGTCTTGGAAAGTCCTTGGAGATCAGCAAAACTTGACTTGTGGGTATATCATGAAATTAGAAGCCTAAATCAAATGCCCCTCATTGAACTGCAGGTAATGAGCCTGGACAGATGTCAGACTGGAGACTTGACCTTTAGCAGTGAGAAAGAGAGATGAATTAAGAGAGTCCAGTATAATGACTGTTTTTCTTCTTAAGGAGGTTAATGGCAGCAGTGTCAAGCTGCGCTAACATCAAAGAGGATTACTTTGAAAGGCTCATCTAATTTGTCAAAGGGAAGGATGTAGGATAGGTGCTGTGGAGCAGCCATCTGCCTCGAGTCACAATTCAGAGGGAATTACCAGGAATCAGAAGGTTCCTTTATTAGAGAAAGCCCCAACTAATTTTCTGTCCTCTAGATCTCAGAAAAATTCACATAAATTCTACCAAATTTTGGTCTTTATTATAGAGATGCCTTGGAGGTGTCTTGGGAAGACAGTGTGGTCTCATTTTGTTCCTGGCATATAAATTAAATTTGCTGCCTGGAAATCTGACCCTCACCACCCCTACCCCCAACTCCCACCGCCAAACCAACATAATGAATTACCTGGCCAGGAATCATGACCCAAACTTAACTGCCCTTCTTTTAGGGCCCTGCTCTCTACTGAATTACCAGAGATTTAATTTTATTCATTCCATTAGTACAACCCCAGGATGAGTTGAAGAGGAATTTGCAATCTACATGTTTCCGCATTTTACTAATTGGGAATTCTAGCAAAAGGGGATTCCAAATTAATGGTTTGCTCTTTTATGCCTTTCATAAAAATGTGTTGAGAGGTGACTACGTGAAAGGTCCCAGTGAATAAGAAATGGACTGTACCTCAGAAGCTTGAGGTCTGGTAGGTCTGTGCTAGTGACTGACTAGATTTGCACAAGAGAGATACAATATGGGCCGAGGGTGGGGAGCAGCTGGTGGCCACTCCTTTTGTCCCTCAAACAGGTTACTTTCAGAGAAGTTTTAAAATCTCATCTGTGGTCTTTATCTTCAATTTGGTAACAAGAATAAAAAAAAAAGGGATCATCTAAATCTCTTGCCAAAGTATATAGAAAGAAGAAAATATTTTAAATTTCTCTCTTGAAATACAGAATTATTTCATTATGCAATACATTTGGAGGGAGGGAAGGAGAGGAATTGAATTAAATTTTCACAATGAAGCCAGACACAAGTTGAAACACTATTGCTAATGCATCTTCATGACATATAAGAAATAGATTATTGTACACTTTCAGACTGGCCTTAATAGAATTTAATATGCTTTGAATTAAATGATGATCAATTATGGCAGGACTGCTGATTATCAACTTTCGTAAAAGAAAAAAAATTCTAATGCATTGTTTAAGTATACCTATTCTCATATCATCTTCCAGGATTTCAATCGATTCATGACTCTCTCAGCTCCCTCCAACAAATACAGAAAACAAAGATGGATTTAGAGAAATATAAAGTACGGAAAGACCTAAAGAAATTACAGCGTAAGATAGGGGAACTCCAGGAAGTGTAAAACTTTCCAGCCATCTTCTTTTTCACCGAGCAAGGGAGTGCTTTGTTGGTAAAATTTGTGAAGAAGAAAGTTAATATCTCTGGGATGTTTACTGCTTCTAATATCTCTGTATTTCTTACCAACTTTTTAAGGAGACGAATGGACCAGAAAATCCAATAAAGCGAAGCAGCTTTATGATGTCTTCATTAACTTATTAATGAAAAAATTAAGGAATTTTTTTTACATACACGCCTTTTTATATTATTATTTGCCTATAAATAAAAAAAGAGCAAACTACATAATCTACAGAAATGAGTCAAGTAGGCTGGGGCTGTGGCAAACTGGAGACCACTTACCCCATCTAAAAACAACAGCCACTATGCACTTCTAGTTCATTATTAACATGCATATCATCCATTATTGCCAAAATTTTCACTTTTCAAGAGAAACCAGAAATCTGGTTTTATATGAAACTATTTATAAGCATTAGGAACTGGCTCAAAATAGTTCTTAAAATATGAGGGAATGTCTGTGGGGCAGATACAGCCAGTGTACTGTCAAATTGCAACTTCAAATCCAGAGGTTCTTGTTTTCTAATAATCCCCATATTTACAGCAAGTCTAATGTATATTTAAAATATTGATTTGTCATACTCAATATGTATCAGAATTATGAGCAAGTAAGGGTTAACCATGCAAAATAAGAGAATACAATAGTTTCCATGAAAAACATCTAACATAATTTGATCTAGGTGCTAAATTCAGAAGCACTTCAAAATCATTAATTAGTTTCCTATAAAATTAAAGTATTTCTAACTTTTCTAGATATAAATGTTAAATGGTGAGCCTGGTAATGGGCAGTAAGATCATGAAAAATAAAAACAAACTATTCATGTCATGCACTATCTGCTAGAACAATGACTAATTTCTCATCACAGAGCTTTGTGTAAACATGGCAAGGGGACCCTCGCTTCAGATTTGGTCTCCTTCCTTGGTTTAGGGAAGAAGAGTGACAACTTCTCTGCTAATAAAGAACAAAATTACCTTCCAAACCAATTTTGGACCAATGCCCACCTCTCTAATTTTTTAGCTATATGAAACATCTCCATTTATTTTTGTTAATTTACATACAGCATCACTGACTATATTCCAACGGATTTTCATAGGAGAACTTAAAGAGTTTACAATGCAATAGCAAGTGTCCTTTGCAATCAAGTGTTACAGGAGGACAAAGGCCTAATATCTCAAGTAATTCCAAATAACTCTTACAAGCCAATAAGAGAATAAGTCAATTTTTTTAAAAAAACAGGCAAAGAATATGAACAGGCAAGTCACAGAAGTATACAATAATAAACGAAGATATGAAAAGACATTCAACCTATTAAAGAAATAAAAATTAAAGGGACCCTTAGCTACCATTTTCAGATTGAAAAAATTAAAGTGATTGATACTATTAGGTTGACAGGGGTATAGAGAAATGTGCACTCTCATACATTACTGGTGAATCTATAAATTGGTACAATGATTTAGAGGGCAATTTGGAAACATCTATTAACATTTTTAAATGTATATATCCTTTGACCCTGGGATTCTACTGCTAGAAATTTCTATTACTGGGGGGAAAAAATTCCAAGGTGTGCAAAGATATATGAACAAGGATGCTCATTACAGCACCATTTGTTATAGTAAAACAACTGAAAACAACCCTAAGGAATTGATTAAATTAATGATATCACCAGACAAAAACTGCTATCCAGCCCTTAAAAAGAATACAGAAAGATATCGATGATACACTGATAGGTGTAAAAAGCAAGTCGCAAAGCAACATGGATACGATCCCACTTCTGTCAAAACAATTTTTAAATAAGTTAAACAGAATATTGCATAACCATAAGCAAACAAAGGTAAGAATTTACAACAAACTTAGCAGTCATTGGATTATGAATAATTTTGTTTTCTACATTAAGCATTAATACTTTTACATTATTACAATATAATATTTTGCTTTCCAGTAAAAATATATTTTATAAAACCACCACAACAAATACACTAGTAGGCTGAAAGAATAACTCTTTGTAATGAACCAAATAAGTGGTTGTAGAAAGGGTTAAATTAGGAATTCACACAGATCAAGGACCATGTCATCCCACTCATATCCATTTTTACTTTACAGACATAGCTACAAAAGCAGAGAGGACATAACAGCAAGTGCAAAAAAAAGATGCTGATGCATTTTTTTTTCCTTGTAAATAAAAATGCTCTCAACTAAATTCTAGCTCAAACAATAGTGCAGGATCAAGCCGAAAGCTTTCCCAGAATGAGTCAACACCTCATTGGTGTTGACAGGGTGGTACTACATAGAATTGAATGCAATGCAAGGGGGTAGGGGATCAAAGGATCCTCTGCCAGTGTTCTCTTGCTTGGGATCCCAAGTTGGGGTGTCCACAGATTGGCACAGACTCTAGATGGCCTGAGAACTATGCCTCGAGAGAAGGTGGATCCACATATTGTAGGACCTAAAGCTTAAAGCTTTGACATGTTCTTGATGTCCTGTCCTAATGAGTGGGCACAAGAGTCTTTAGGAATACTCCTGGAAGCTATCGCTAGCTCAGGACAGCAGCAACTCAACTGTATACAGAAGAGACCATGAACAACGTAAGTATGTCCGTCCAACCCAAAAGTATCCCCAACTCCACTTCTCTTTAGCTGGATCCAAAGATGCCCATGGCCACTCCAGGGGCACCTGACATCAACGGAAGTTGGAGTAGAAAGAGAGTGGTCTTAACCAACGATCTCATTGTAGTTAAAATGTCTTCTGCAAATTTTACGACGATCTTGTAAACACACTGCCAAGGCTCAGGTAAGTAGGGGACCCTGGAGCTCAAGGGCCATCATTTGACACTACATTCACCTCTGCTCGGGGGACCAGTGGAGCACTGGGTCTCCCTTGCTTTGCATTTATTTTGCAATGGATCCATAAAGGTGACAAAGATGAACAATCCTCATAGAGCAGCTCAACATACATGGCACTTTATTCTTTACCAAAACCAACACTTAATCCTTTGGGAAATGTCAAACTTCTCTCCCCACCAATACAGGAGAATGCTTGAGCATCACAGAATCTGCAGTCCAGATGCACCGGCAAACTTGAGGCAGATGTTAAAATATCTCAGACTCCACTTTAGGGACAAACCCCATCTAAACAGGCTTGGAAATCCAAGGACCCTGCTGACACCATGTTTCCTGCCATTTCCTCCCTCTTATCAAAAACCTGCTGTTAGGGAGGAAAAAATATATACAATTATTTACACTGAGGACTAAATGGGAATGTTCAAAGTACCCTACTTCCCCATTGAAGATGAAAGACACATCCCTCACCTTATGTTTCACAGGTAACTGCCTTCTCAGCCCCATTGTGAGGTAGACACGCTCACCACCTGATAGCCAGGAGAGCAATAGGCCCAAGGTCCCAGAAATAGCATCCCCAGAATGCTCTGCACACCAGCAGCTTCCCCCTCTTCTACAGAAACTTACCAAACACCTGTCCACTTCTATTAGTGTCATTCATAATAGCAGCAAGTAGCATCCAAAACACCAAGAAGGAAAAACTTGCTCTACACTATATATACACACACATACATATTGGTGTTTTTACCTGATGAAATGGGTCTCCACACTTTTGTGAGATATTACTTTTTATATATTTGCAGCCTCCATTCATTCATTTGCTAGGCACTGAGGATACAACATTAAGCAAACTAAATATGGGCCCTCCCCTTAGGGAACTTACAGTCTAGTAGAAAAGACCAACAATTAAATTTGCAAATACCTGGGCAAGTGAAGGGTGTGATGGGAGCACCTGGGAGAGGCATTTAGCATAAACATGGGGAATCAGGCAGAGGGATCTTCCAGAAGAAGGGATATCTAGATTGAGACCTCTAAAGTATAAGTAAATATTAACCAAGGGAAAGGGGCTTGATTGGCAGAGGTGGGGGCTCAGGCAGATGGCACAGCCTAAGCAAAGGCCTAGAGGCCAAGAGAATGGGACCCATGCCAGGAACACATGTAAGAAGTTCAATGGGTTAGAACCTAAAGTGTGTGTGGTGGAGGTGAGGGAGGGGGCTGGAGGGAGGTGAGCAGGAAAGAGAACACGAAGTTGGAGGGAGTGGGTATCTGATCACAAAGGGCCTTGTTACTCCTCTTGAGGAGCATGGACTTTATCTTTAGGGCCCAGAGTAGCCTTTGAAGGATTTTATTTATCTATTTTTTTAAAGATTGACCCTGAGCTAACATCTGTTGCCAACCTTTTTTTCTTTCTTTTTTTCTTTCTTTTTTTCTTCTTCTCCCCAAAGCCCCCCAGTACATAGTTGTACATTCTAGTTGTAGGTCCTTCTAGTTCTGCTATGTGGGACACCACCACAGCATGGCTTGATGAGCAGTGCTAGGTCTGCACCCAGGATCCGAACTTGCGAACCCCTGGCTGCCAAAGTGGAGCGTGCAAACTTAACCACTCAGCCACGGGGCTGGCCCCTGAAGGATTTTAAATAGGAGAAACATTATCAGATTTTCATTTTAGAGAGATCCCTCTGGCTGTAGTATGAAGAACAGATTACAAACACAGTGGGAGAAGCAAATTTGGGTGGGAAAGGAGATGATTCAGGAGAGAAAGGATAATGAGCTCAGTTTTAAACTGATTGATTTGGAGGTATCTATGGGATGTCCAAGTGGAGATGTCCAGTGGTTGGTGAGCGATAAGGACCTGAGGCATGAGAGAAAGATCTGAACTGAGGATTTAACATAGAAAGGGTTATTAGAGTTATGGGTGAGGAAGGAGGAGATTGCCTGGGGTTGGGAGGGGTGGGAGTAGGGGACGTGAACTACAGTGAGAAACAGAGATCAGGCAGGAACTCCGAGGACACGTAACACTGAAGGAACAGGCAGAAGAGGAACCTTCAAGTCCCTGGGTGAGTATATGAAGACAGCAGTGCGGTAGGAGAGGGAAGATCATTGTTTGAGGGTTTGTCTTCCCTGGGAGTGCCTGCTGGCAGATAGTGTCAACAATCAACTTGGAGTTCTACCAGTAGTACTTTAAGACTGAGATTAGATCTCTGCCTACCAGGAGGACCCTGTTCTAGAACGTAAACTCGAAAGTTGGGTGTATGGTGCAACTTGGTAGAGAACAGTTATAAATGCTCCCCTGACTGCCCTGCC